GTGGCTGAGTATGTCTGCAGTTGTTTCTGCATCTTCTAATCTAGTCCACTGACCCTTAGGTCTGTTTCTTTGCCAGTACCATGCTGTTTTTATCACAGTAGCTTGGTAGTATAGTTTCAAGTTGGGGATTGTGATAACCCCTGCCACGTCTCTATTGCCTAGAATTGCTTTTGCTATTCTAGATCTCTTCTGGTTCCAAATGAATTTTTGGGTTGTTTTCTCTAGTTCTCTGAAATATATTGTTGGAATTTCAATCGGCATTGCATTAAATCTGTATAGCAGTTTTGGAAGTATGGCCATTTTCATTGTTGTTTTTTTTTTGGTACTGGGGATTGAACTCGGGTCCTTCTGCTTGTGAGGCAGGCGGTGGAACCACTGAGCTAAATCCCCAGCCCGGCCATTTTCACTATATTGGTTCTTCCTACCCAGGAACAAGGGATGTCTTTCCATTTTCTTATATCCTCTTTGATCTGTTTTTTCAGAGAAAATACACTATTTTAGAAGAAGAGTCCTATAATACTTATAATTCACAAAGAGCTTTTTCAAAATAAAGAAAAAAAAGACTAGCAACCTGATAAAAAATGAGCAAAAGAAATAAACTGACAGCTGAAGATTTAGCTCAGGGGCACCACGCCTCCTACTCTAGGCATAATAAAAGGAAATACCATGCATAGGTAAACAAGAGATATACCTAAGAATATTCCCATAGCAATAATCACAACAGCCCCAAACAGAACAATACAAATGTGGATCAATAAAAGATAAGGTAAACAAATTGTGTAGTGTGTCTGCAACAGAATATCACACAGCAGTGAAAATGAAAAGAACACCACTTATCAGTGACATTGAACGAATGTGACAACATAATATTGTCTACAATAATCTGCATACAAAAGACTATGTATTGTGTTTCTAAGTATGTAAAATTCAAAACAGACAAAGGTGAACTTTGTGTAAAAAGTCTCTGACTCTCGTTTCCTCTGGGGATGCGAGACAGTGTAGGCTGGGAGTCACTGGAGGCCTCTGGGTGTAGTGGTGATGTCTCTCCATCCAGAGAGAGCTTTGGGGGTGTGCTGTCTGTATTTGTTGAGATAAATACGATTGGTGCACCCACCTGTTCATAGGTCATAACTCAACTAAGAGCTTCCCTAATGATGTTAAGTAGCCAATAACATCCACAACAACAAAATCAGTTGATGAAGAAACAGGGTGTGTTTACAGATGTCAAAAATTATGTTGTGCTTCCTTGGCAAATCCAGCATCATGCTTTGCTCTGAAATTCAGCTGCTTGTATGTTCCTCTCCTAGTGTTCTGTTTTTCACAAGAAAACTGGTTAACAGCTGTAGATTATTGAGTTCAGTTCTGATCTTTTTATTTATTTATTTGGGGGGGTACCAGGGATCGAACTCGGGTCCTTGTGCTTGTGAGCCAGGCAGTGGAACCACTGAGCGAAATCCCTGGCCCTCTTTTTATTTGTATTTTATTTTTGGAGCTAGGGATTGAACCCAGGGCCTCAGGGACAGTGAACACAGTCTGCTACGGAGCTGTGTCTGTATCCTCTGCTCCATTCTAATGGGTTTATTTGGGGTGCAGAGGAATTGCCAGAGGCTTGCTGTCAGCTGATCACTGCAGAGCAGAAAATCTCCTTATCTTTAGCACTTTAAAAACCTTTCACTATTTAATACAATTGGATTGTACAGATTCATCAGTTGTCATATCAGACTTCTCATATTTTACTTGTGACCTTACTCTCAGAGGGTATACAAATAGCAAGCAGCTTTGAATTTACACTGATTGTTTTTTATTGCAGTAGATTTTTAAACACAAAAGTTAAACAAGAAAATAGAAATGGTTTTATAGCTTACATGCTGGTACGTGAAATGATTTCATTTAAAACTTGTGTGTACTCTTCAGAACAGCCTTCCTCTCCTCTCTGCTCATCACCACATTTGAAAAATAACAAAGTTGCAGAATTTAAAACACCTAATTTCAAGACGGATAAAGCTCTAGTAGCTAAGACTACATGCCAGGAGTGTCAAGGCAGATTGGCCGTGAGACAGTGGGATCCCCAGAAATGTGTCATCAGGAGATTTTCAGCTGCAGTCCCAAGGCAACTTGACATAAAGGACAATCTTTTATACAAATGATGATGGAATAACTGGATATCTGTCTGCAAAACACAACTGCAAAGGGCTGGGGTGTAGCTCAGTGGTAGAGCGCTTGCCTCCAAGGCCTGAGGCCCAGGTCCAGTTACCCCAGCACGCAAAAACATGAAAGGCTCCAGCCTTTTGTTGGCAAGGTGGTGCATCCCTGTAACCCAGCAGTCAGAGGCCAGCGTGGACTACACAGTGAGACCCTGTCTCAAAAAAGAAGAAGGGCCGGGGATGTAGCTCAGTGGCGCCGCGACTGCCTTGCAAGCACAAGGTCCTGAGTTTGATCCCTGGTACCGGGGGAAAAAAAGAAAATAATGAACTCCTGCCTTATTTCCTTCCATATTAAAAAAGTGTAAATCCTAGAAACCTTGGAATTTGCAAAGAGTTCTTAAATCTGATACAAAAAGCACAAACTATAAGAGGAAAATTGAATTTTAAATTGAATTTTATCAAAATTTGAAACTTTTGCCATTCAAAAGATATTGCTATGAAAAGGCAAACCTCACATTGGGAGAAACTATTTGCAAAACATATGTCTGACAAAGGACTTATAACTGGATTTTTTTTTTTTTTTTTGCACCGGGGATCGAACTCCGGTCCTTGGGCTTAGGCAGCCCGCGGCAAAACCACTGAGCTAAATCCCCGGCCCTATAACTGGAATTTAAAAGAAAAGTGAAAAGGAAAAATTTACCCTCAATAATATGAAGACAACCCAATTTTAATAATAGGCCAAAGGGGCCGGGGATTTAGCTCAGTGGTTTCACTGCCTGCTATGCAAGCGTAAGGACCGGAGTTCGATCCCCGGTACCGAAAAAAATAATAATAATAAGCGAAAGATGTGAACAAAAGCTGTCGCAAAAGAATGCATACACTTGGCTAAAAGTACATGACAAGATGCTCAACATGATTTGTCCTCGGGGGAAACACAAATGAAAACCATACCCAGATACCACCGCTCTCTTACTAACATGGCTAAAATCCCAAAGACTGGTCAGATCTTGTGCTGTGAGAGGCAGGGCGCTGAAATTTTCATGTAGTGCTGGGAGTAATGTAACATTATGCGACCACTTTAGAAAAGCTGGATCCAGCCCCTCTCTCCTGTCTCCTGTCCCCTGTCCCCTCTCCCCTCTCCCCTGTCCCCCTCCCTCCCTGGTTCAGGGGTTTGAACCCAGAGCCTTTGCACTGAGCTACATCCCTAGCCCCCTTTTTTTTATTTTTTTGAGACGGGTCTTTCTGACCCTAAGTTGCCCAGGCTGGGCTCAAATTTGCAGTCCTCCTGCCTCGGCCTCCCCCTGGAATCATAGGTGTGCAGTTGCTTCACAAGTTAAGCAGAGACCAGCCCAGTTCATCCACTGCTCGGTATTTACCCAAGAGCTGTGAGTGCACACCTTACACGCTGTGCACAGACACTTGGAGCAACTTCACTTACACTATGTAGTTCCATTTATAAAAAAAAAATCTAGGAAGAATTTCCAGAAGCTGATCTGTTTACCTGATGACAGAAGGCGGGTGGGAAGAGGGGAGGAGTCACCAAGGGGCCCCTTGGGAGCTGGGAGGGCGATGGCCACGTCCACTGTCTGGATTCTGGGGATGGTTTGTCGGGTGCGCACAGAAACACTCTCAGAACTGTACGCTTCCGTGTGCACCTTCTACTGCATGTCATTTCTACGTCAATAAAGCTGTAGAAATAGAGTTGCACAGAAAAGGAACGTAAGTATGGCCTCGTTCTGAGCAGCACAGAGAGTCACATGCTATAAACACAATTTTTACACATCTCAAGGTAAAACTATATTGAGGCAATAGGAAGTACGTTGGCTGGAGGAGGGTAGGGTCATGAGAAACTCCTAGCCTTCCACAGTGGGGATTCAACAAAGCCACGGCTGAAACAGCTAGGAAGGATGAAGGCGGGGTTGTTCAGAGCCGTGACTCAGGCCAGCCTCGGCTAGGAGCGGCTCTCCCGCGCAGGGCTGTCCTAGGAACACGTGGACTTCATTAATGAAGCCACAGGAACGTGTGACCGTTTGACCCTCCTAGCTCCATCTCCAGCGTTCATTTTATTTTGCCCGTGTCAGTGTACGTTTGATCATGATGAGCGTGTTCAGTGTGGAGTACTGGTTCAGATATGGGTTGCATCCAGGCCACTTCTGTCTCCCTCCATTCCCGTCATCTCCCAGGGCCCCTTCACATCTCTGCAAAACCCATCTCCCTGTTTCCTGTCATTTTTTATTTTGCTCTTTAAATTATTTACGCTTTGGATTTCCCATATGAAGGTGTAAGTTTAATATAAATTAAAACTTTTAAACCTCAGCACCACAGCCCCAGACCCCCTCATCTGCCCGGCTGGCGAAGGGCCGGGCAGGTGCTCAGGGAGGAGGGCAAGGCCGCTGGGCTGGGCGCTGCCCTGTGCCTGTGTCCCGAGGAGGACGTCTCGGGCTGTGCGGAGAAGCGTTGAGCGCAGGCAGCTTTTGCTGTGAAGCAGGACTGGTGACCCCCAGGCACCAGGACATGGGCTGTGCCCGTGTGAAGTGAGCCTGCCGAGGCCGTGCGGCCCCAGGTTCCGACCCAAACACAGAACCAGATTAAGGGCTGGGCATAGCTCGGTGGTCACGTGTTTGCCTAGGGTCCATGCACCAATCCTGCAATATTAGGTAGTTATTTAGTTAAGGTAAAGCATGCTTACCTTGAGGACTATACTCATTTTTTCTTTCTGTGATAACGGGCCGGAAGGACACCTTTGAGGAATGATGCACCTCTATTCTGTGAACCCCCTGGGAGCTGACTTACTAAGTCTGTTTCTGATGTTCCTTTTGCAGGTGGTCACTTCTTTCAACGAAACTCCTTGTCTCCTCGGAGCCTGGTGTATGAAAGTGAATTCTCTACAATCGAACCTTCTTTGGACATGTATGATGAGAACAAAACCTGATTTTTAAAAAGTGGGCTGTGGGGGTCACTTCGTTTGTGATTTGATTTATGATCACCTTTCTTATTTTGTATTCTCCTGTCAGCATCCGTTTTAGAAGAATGGCAGCACTGCCAAGCACAGGTTGGGGTTCAGGGTTACATTGCAAAGCCCCCTGAGGCAAGGCTTTGAGGACTGTGTGATTGCCTGGGGCCTCACGGTACTGAGCACCTGCCAAGCTGGCCGTGAACATGGGCTCCCAGCAAGCCGGGCCATTCCCGGGGACAAAGGGGACCAGGAGTTGATGCTGCACCACAAACGTGTCCGAATAATCACATGCTATTCTGTGTCGGGGTGGCATGGGGACTTTTAAAAATACTTTTTGTGATCCTGTCTTACAGTGCATCCCAGAGCCTGCAGGTAAAGTTCCCTGCCCTTGCACAGTGAGTCACAGCTCTCTGATGTGCTGTTCTGTCATCTGTCTCGTCTTCCTGTGAGGGGCCTCTTTGCATAGGAAGGTGAGCGAGAGCCTTGCCTTCGAACCTCCTTGAGACTCTGAGCACCCTTTCCCCCGAGCTCTGCCTCAGCGACAGAGGTCAGGACCAGGCTCTGTGCTTAGGCCTGGGCAGCTGTCCCCACTGGCGTTTTCCAGTGTCTGTGTCGAGCATGATGTGAGGTGACAAGTGTTTTTGTGGCCACGAAACACCCGAGGCCCCGTCCCCACGGCCTTTGGGCTTGTCCACTGGGCTGTACGGGGAGTGGCACTGGGGAGCCCAGCCCCCCGCCCCTCTGGGCACAGTGGGCACAGGGCGCAGCCAGCAGATGCCAGCACCAGAATGGTCTGGAACGTTTCACAAGACCTGGCCACGTTCCTGCTGCCAGGTCTCATACCAGGAGCCCTCTTTCTGTCTTCGTTGGTCCGATCTCATCCCTGCCCCTGGCCTCGGCACCTGCGTGAAGAAAGCATTGGAGCCTGGTCTCCAGGCTTCCAGAAAGCTGGGAGGACCCTGAGGGCAGGTGCTCTGCCCGCACATCCAAGATGGCACGGAGTTAACATGACGAGAAACTTGTATTCTGTGAATAATGGACCCAAGAGGAACAAATTTACCAAACATGTCTACGCATCCTTTGCTATAGTTCAGTCTGCTTCTCCTCGGCAGTGGGAGCTGTGTGCAGCCTGAGGTCTTCAGCGCCTTGCTGTGGAAATGGTCCTTCAGTCTCCAGATGCGCTGGATTTGCCACCCAGATGCCCTACCCTGTTATTTTTATTAGCTGTGTAGGATGTAAGTTTGAAGTGAACACTTGCCATCTTTCTGTGTATGGCATCTTTTCTTGTAATATGTTGTTAAGATGCCTCAGACATAGATGTGCTCCAAACAAAAACCATCAGAAGCCCGAGATGGTGACACCCTTGGGGAACATGACAGCACTGTGACCAGCAGCATTTTCTCTTATTAACTGAAGGCTGGCACAGGTAGATATTTAAGGTTTTAACTGCTTTTGCTTTCTACTCTCTACCAAGGGCTTTTGTTTATTCGTTTTCCTTTTTATAGTCTTTGTAATGTAAAAAATATTTTTGATAAGCAGTTTCAGTTTCACCATGGTTCAGAAAGCCGATGGTTCCCCACTGGGTTCTCGGTAAGAAATGAGTTTTAAGACGATCAGAACTCGCTTTGCCAGAGCTGTAGCCACACACTTGGGCTGGTGCTCGCACTGCTCACCAGGCAGGTGGGGTAACCGGGTTCCAATTATTGCCGGGCTGCCTGTCCTGCCCTTGTTTTCCCTGAAACAAAGCTCAGATCCCTACGTAGCATTTCCTCCTGATTTGTGCAGTCGTATGAAGCCATGTACATTAATGTCACTGAGACAGTTCTTACTGAAAAGGAATGAAATTGCTTAAGAGGAAATGTTTTTAAATTGAATCCTTAAAATCTACTGGTATAATACTGAGTTTCTGGCAAATCTGGGACAGAGTCACTGTAGAGCAGCCAAGGAGGCATTGCTTCTGAGAGAATTTACTCTGAGGAGCGCCTTGGATCCCAGCTTGACCCGTTTTCCTGAAGATCAGGGCCACCTTCCCACTCGGGACAGAATGTCCTGTCTTTGTCAAGAAGGACACTAACTTCTTCCTCGAGGACACAAGCTTCGGACTAGAGAGGTGGTGTTCTTATCCCAGACAGCAGCCTCCCTGCCAGCAGCTGTGCTGAAGGAAGTTCCTGTCGAGCCCCCAGGAACCCATCTGGGAGCCACAGCCGCAGGGCTGCCTGCCGTGTCAGCCTTGGCAGCGGGCACCCTGTGCAAGCGGTCAGCTCCCTGACTGTGGCAGGCACAACCAGGGTGCGGGGAGCAGCTCCTCCGTCAAGGTGAGTGTCTCAGTTGCTCCGAGTCTTACCAGCAGTGGTGGTTATCAGGAAGCGCACAGTTGTGCAGTAACCCTAACCATTTCCAGGAGGGGACTATGTGAAGAAAGGGAAGGGCTGAGGAGTGAGCCACGTGCACTGCAGACCCCCCGTCCTCCGATGGACTGCTCGGACCTGGCCTGCCTCCCGCCTCGTCTGCCTACCACCTCACCCTGCTCCCAAGGTCCAGCGGGGCGCAAAACCGTGCTGTGTGCTCCAGGACTTCTGTGGGCAGGGTCAGAGTGACAGGATGCCAGGCTTGTGGCAGAAGGACCTTGGCCATCCCACAGGAGGAGCACACAGCCTCCATCCCTGTCACCCTGCAGCGAGGGAGAGCCTGCTATGCCATGGTGGTGAGCATGTCTGCCCAGGCCCTGCCTCTGCTCTGCCGGCTCCTGCTGCCTTGACTTTATCTCACAGCTCCTCTCAGTCCCAGGCCTGGCCTGGAGGAAGACCCGTTAGGCAAGTTGCTGCACCCTGTCTGGCCCCGTGGCTGAGACTGCACTTCCTGGCTACCCAGAAGGTTCCATCAGAGAAGTAGTAAACAAAATGAGTTGCTGAATTTTACTAATTTGACACATCCTAAGAGCTTGATAAACCTTTCTCATATTTTTATTGCTTCTCACATGCAGTGCATTCATTGATGTACATCCTTAAATGACACTGGTTTTAATTGAAGAAAAAGCAACACATTCTCTTGCTGTTACCATTGCTGTTGGGGCTTGGGCAGTGGTTCTGCTACAGAAGAGCAAGGAGCTGATGTATGTGTCAAGAGTCACTTTGACAAGAGGTTGCTGCTCACAAATGTCATGGAACAAACCTGCTAAATTTCAGGATGTAGCTTTTAGAAGGACAAAGGTAGAGCAGTACAGTTAGATTTGCCCATAGACTTCATTAAGTTTCCTCACTGTGACCAATGCTTATCTGTAGAGTGTAGGCGAGTTCAGTGACTGACATCCCCGGGCCTGAGGATGTGACTCAGTGGTGGAGTGGATGCTCAGCATGGAAGAGGCCCTGGGTTCCACCCCCAGTGCACACACATGCACACGCACACATGCGTGCACATTTTGGCTAGTCTAAAACACCAGCAGTGTAAGACCGTGGGCCTTACCAAACGCTCTGAGGAGCTGACTACAGCAAAGATCACCCAGGAGGGAACACACCGGACAAGTTGGAAAGTAAAACAGACCTTTATTAGTCTGGCCAGATGGCACTCCCAAAGCAAAGTAGCTTAGAGAGGCAACTGGCTCAGAGTCTGAGGCTGTTTTTATAGGGGTTCGCAAGGGTAGTCGGCAAGCAGAAATACAAAAGCAGAGGAGAGAGATAAAACAGACCTTTTACAGATTGTCCTTAAGATAACATATTCAGATATGGACTTGGGCAAGCATGACGGAACACTACACACACAACAGACCTTCCTGGCACAACAAGCACATCCCTGGAACTCGATGTCTACCTGGTGATCCGTAACAGAAGCAGACAAGTTGGGGCCCTATTACAAAATGGAGTAACTGTTGTTCAGTCTCACAAGCAGATCATCACCCACCTGGGAAGTTAGATCAAATGAAGTAAGCCCGACTCTTGAGGGGAAGGAGGAGGGGTATCCAGGGCACAGGTTCCGGGAACAGCACCGCAGCCCTGGTGAGCCCCAGAAGGGCCAAGGCTTGGACTGATGCAGTGGCCAGAGGGCTGGGGTTGAGCTTCTAGGAAAGGCAAGGCCATGCCTGGGGGTAGGAGGGCAGGTGGGCACTGCCATGGCCTGCATGCTAGGGGCTGCTCAGGGTCCCTGCCAGAAGAGGCCTTTCACAGTGGACCCCAGATCTGCTGACAGAGCAGAGTCGGAAGGAGGGAGCCAAGAGATAGGCACAGAAGCCTAGGTCTCTAGTCTTGGTGACCAGGTGGGAACTAGGGGGCCCAGGGAGCCCCTGTGGGGATACTTGAGGTCTGGCACTGGCAGGGTCCCTGGGGAGGTACAGAGACGCAGCGCTGATGTGAGGCAGAGGTTTGCTGGAGGCAGGAACTCCAGGGGCCATGTGTTGAGTGTGTATCCAGCAGTCCTACCAGAGTGGCCTCTGTAGTCAGTCAGCCCTCAGGTCCTCACCTTTCCCTCGGCTCACCCTTCCCCTGCTCCGTGCTGAGGCGTGCACTCAAGGGACACGGGCATACACCCTTGCTGGCGGTGTCCCCTCAGTTCAGATGACAGTGGCAGCCAGGGGAGGTGGAACTGCCCAGTGACATGAGAACCAGGTTTGGGATGAAGCTGCTGATATGTAAGAGACAGAAGGGCTGCTACGGGCACCCAACTTGGGTGGGACTCACTATGCACGAGAAGCGTCTCTCTGCAGTGTCCAGTGTCGCCCACTGGGAGCGCAGGGCGTGTGAGGAGGTGGGGACAGGATGGGTACCTCGGGGTGACTTCTGCCTCTGCTCCCCAGATCTCAGCAAGGGCACGTGTCCGGATGAGGGGTGTGGATTGGGCTTTTGTTTTGGATTTGTGGGTACACCATTCCAGAGGCTATCTTAGCCCATCAGGAAGAGGATGAGCACATAATGTCCTTGAATGGCTAAGACCCTTGCCAAGGGACTGGGAAAACTGGATTCTAGGTATTGTGATATCCGAGAAGACAGAGAAGTGGGCAGGGGAAGATGGCTGTGTTCGCTGTGCGGATTCCTGACTGTTTCACAGGAAAAGCAAAGCATCCTGGAGCTCAGTGGTGCCGTGGGGAATCGCTCCCACAGACTCAGCCCTCACTGGCTGGCTTGCTGGCTCTCTGGAATGCCAGGTCTGCGGGCACACCTGCCTGGTGCTGTGGGCCTGAGGAAGGCAGGGTAGCCATGGAATCCCTGAAGGGCAGTAGGGTGCAGGCATCCTGGGTGAGCCCAGGAGACCCAACTGGGAGGAGGAGAAGCCAGGCGGCCCTCCAGCAGGCATTGCATGAAAGCAGTCGCCCGCATTTTCCAGAGCGTGACCGACCAGCCTGCAGTGCAGAGGAAGGGAGCCATCAGTCTTCACTGCTGAACACCTACACCTGCGCCTCCCAAGATGTGGTTCTGGTGTCCCAAGAGGAGTGGCCCGCTAGTCTGTCCATGGGGTTGCCCTCCTGCAGTTCACTCTAGGCCGCCTTCTCTTCACTGTGACTCAGAGAAGAGACACTGACAGGACAGAAAGCCCCTGAACTCCATGCAACTTGAGTATTAAGCTTGGAGAAGGGTCAGTGCTGCCCAGTCACTCAGGCCGCAGGCCCAGACTCTGAGCTCTTCCTGTTGACTCCTCCACATGCACACCCCACAAAACACAGGCTCGAGGTGGCATGGACCCCAATTGACAGCCTAAAGGAATGATTTTCTCACAAACAGCAAGCACTGAGAATGCATTGCTCCGGCCCAGAGCCCAGGGCGCAGGCTGGCGGCTCAGCAGTGAGCACCGTTGTGAACAACACACGTCCTGCTGTGGAAAGCCATGGGCACCTCTCTCTGCTGCAGCAAACCCCGGCCCTTGGGGCATAGCTTCCCAGGTCCCCACACCATGATGCGTGATGCGGGGCCAACACGGCTCAAGTCTCACCAGTACACTCAGCTCCACGTGTGGGGTGGCCACGTGTGCAGGAAAGGATGTCAGTCCACCAGCAGGCTGGCCTGACTTCATCTGCTCCTCTCCCACCGGTGGGCCATCGCCTTTTCTACCCACCTCTCCTTATAGCTACCGGCAAATGTTGAGAGTAACAGAAGATTGTTCTGTTTTTTACAAATTTAATCCAACATAACATGGATTCTTTCTTTTGAAATTATCCTTTCTCCACAATTAAGTCCAGGTGTTTTTACACTGTGTGATAGTACTTTTCTCATGACAGATGGTGAACAAGGTACTTGTTTAAAACAGAGGGAAGATGGGGAGAGGATAACATCCCAAGCCGTTCTTTTCCTTCAGAGGACCAAACTCCCTCTGTAAGAGGAAGGCCACTGACTGGTGCCAGTGCTCCGTGGACCTGGTCACCAGTGTGGCCCAGCTCCAGGTCCCTGGCCCTCGTGCTGCGATGGTCCATGCCACCCTGGAGAGGCACACAGGACACCACCTCCTTTCACCACCCCGGCACCCCAGGCCTGGCTTGCTGACCAAGCTAGAGCAGGGGCTCCCTTGGCTGGTTCTTGGGCCAAAAATGGGAAACAGGCTGAACTCTAGAGTGGCGAGATCTCTGTCCAAGAAACCTGGGCCAGAGTGCTTAGGGAGGCAGGAAAGGCTCTAGGCTAGATGATGATGGGGTGTGGAGAACACCATGGTCTAACGGGAATGCCCTACTCCTGTACGGGAGGAGGAACTGGTTCAGTCCAAGGCTACATATAAATGATTGTTTCTGACCCTCAGTAGCTTTTATACTTGTAGAAAATTTACAGTTATCCCTTTCATATTTGGGTCAAAGAGCCCCTCATTCTGGGTTCCTGCTAACTATGCACAACATCTCAAAGGATGGCATACAAAACTATTTTTCTAACTATAGTACAGGTACTTTGGGGTGGGGAAGTTTGGGATATACCAAAATGTGGCAAATGATTTACCTTCCATCTTGAAGGATGAAAGGGAAACTATGCACTTGAGTTTTAATTCACCATTGGATAGCTTGTTGCCAGAAAGTACATACATCCAATATTCAAGAAGAAATATGATCATCAGCTTAATTTTGGGGCTCGCTGTGGGAGGCCTACTGTGTTTCGAACACAAACACCTGCCAGTGTCACGTGAGCTGACTTCTTGACACTCAGACCTTCTCAACCCTAGAACTGCTCTGGGCAGCACAGTTCCTAGGTCCACATGGTTGATGTAAGTATAGTTAACCAGTGAAAGTGTATGGTGTATACCTATGTTAGTAGTGTGTCCCTGTATGTGTACAGTTTGCTAATATAACCATTTCAATAAAAACCAATTGAAAAAGCAATTCTGGCCACATGGAGCACTGTTGGTCGTAATGTGTATAAGCGAGGGCTGTTAGGGTCGAACGTGACAGAAAACCGAACCCAACCAGGCTGAAGTAAAAGGGGAACATAGTGGCTCCCAAAAGCTCAAGTGCCAGGGGAACGTGTCAGAAGTGGTGCTCCGGCCCCTCCCATCAATACCGGGGCACATGTGCCCCCTGTGCTTCCTTTCAGGAACCTCCACCCTCGGGCTCAGTGAGCCAGGCGTCCCATCAGCTTAGGAGCTGGTCTGCTTCCCAGGAGGTGGTCCAGCCCAGAACGGTCGAGATCAGCAGTGGTGAAGCTGGCACGTGTGCCACAGCAGGCAGTTTGTGTCATTGAATGCTCTGAAAGGTTGGCCATCACTGGCCTAGACCATCAGAGGCGCACAGCCGTCACCAAGCCAGATACGTGATCCCACAGATGGGCTGTGCTGACTGCCTCAGCCAGGCATGGTTCCCTCAGCAACTGCCGTGCTGCTCAGGAAGGAGACGTGGACATGCAGGGAAAGAGCAAGTAAATGTCCAGTGTGTGCAGACGAGCTGGAGCCATCAGCACCACTCTCCCAAATACCACTTTACCTGCCTTCTATTTATCATCTCTATAATCATAAGATACCTATCTAATAGGGCTGATGTGAGGGGCCAACTTAAAATAATGCAGAACTCTTACAACTCAAAAATAAAGAGAGCCCAATTTAAAAATGGCCAAAATACATGAATAGGCTTTCTCCAAAGAAAAAATGACGAAGAAGCACATGAAAGGATGTTCAGCATCATTATTCATGAGGGAAATGCAGATCCAAACCACAATGAGATATCACTTCAATCCTCTAGAGATGCTGTAACTATAATAGAAAGACAAGTGTTGATGAGACATGGAAAACTGGAACTCGTACGTTGCTGGTAGGAATATGAAATGATACTGCTGCTTTGGAGAACAGCTGGGTAGCTGCTCAAAAAATCAGACATAGTTTTACCATGTATTTCTTTCCTTTTTCTTGGTACCGGGGATTGAACTCGGGTCCCTGGGCTTGCGCAGCAGGCAGCAAAACCACTGAGCTAAATCCCCAGCCCTTACCATATATTTCAACAAGATCACTCTTTGATATATAGTATATCCAAGAGAATTAAAACATGTTCACAAAAAACTACATACTCACAATTCATAATAGCCAAAAGATACAAACAACTCAAATGTCCCTCAACATATGACTGAATTAAAAATACAGCATATCTACCATGAACTATCCAGGCATTAAAAAGGAATGCCACTGTTGTAGTCAAGGTTTTATAAGGGAAACAGATTTAATTCAGAACACAAAATTTATAGGATTATGTTATAATAATCACCCAAAAAGTCAAGTGCAGAGGAGTCCAAGAGATCTAGCCGCACGCTAGAGGCCCAAAGAATCCAGCCCAGGATCTGGACCCCACAGAGTGTCCCCCACAAGTCCAGGTGAAGGCCTAGAGCCCAAGGCAATGTCTCATGCAAGTCCTTATCGAGGATCTGCACCCAGAAGGCCCAAAGGCCAGTGGTGGAAGCCAGAAAACCTACACTAGTGGGGTGAAGGGTTTGTGCCACCAGGCCGAGGGATCCACACTGGAGCCAGGAAGTAATGCTCACGGTGAAGATCAGAGCTCCCCTGAGAAGAACAGCAGCCATTCCCAGGATATTGAGGCCGCGAGCTCCTCTGACTAGAGAACAGCCAAGGCCGCATTGGGAAAACCAACCACAGCACGGTTATCCGAGAAAATCAACAGCCCAGGATCTTCCCCTCCAGTTCTCTCTCTTTTTTTGGTACCAGGGATTCAACTCAGGACCTTGCACTTGCAAGGCAACTGCAGTGCCACTGAGCTAAATCCCCGGCCCTCCAGTTCTCTTCTTATGCAACTGGCAGCAGTCCTCAGGTGGGACTTCCACACCCAACCACGCTGGCTCAGTTCAGCTGGGCATTCCAAGGGGACCATTAGTTAATCCACCACTGCCCACTGATACATGCTACAGCACAGATGAATCTTGAACATGTCATGGTGAGAGAAGCCAGACACAAAAGGCCACAAGTTTTATGATTCTATTTATATGACACGTCCAGAACTGGCACAAGAGACAAAAACCAATCGGTGGTTGCCAATGTTTGGGAAAGGGCTGTGAGTGACTGACACTGGAACAAGGCTCCCATGTGGAGTAACGAGACGCTAGGGAATACTAGTGGTAGTAGCTGCACAACCCTGTCATTAAAAGTCACTACACGTGCACTTGGAGAGAATTTTATGAAATGTGAATTGTATTTCTGAAAATAAAGAGAAAAAAAAGAAGCAGGCTTAGCACATACTAAGTGTTCAATAAATGTTCTTTATTTTGTATAAAGAATAGTTCTCAGGGCTGGGGATCTAGCTCAGTGGTTCCGCTGCCTGCCTTGCAGGAGCAAGGACCTGAGTTCAATCCCAGGTAACAGAAAAAAGAATAGTTCTCCAAGGGTGGTCTCCAGGATCTACACTACCTAAGAACTCATTCGGGCCCAGCAACCTGGGTTTAATAAACTCTGAGGGGATCCAAGTGCAGGGTCAAATTTGAGAAACCCTCGAAGGAAGAAACGAGACAATAGTTCACCTCCTCCCAAGGTGGTAGCAAGTATTTCCTAATTCTTGAGAGCAGAATGACATTATCCGTTTATGCTTCCAGAATCTTAAAATCATCTTGACAGTTGACTCAGTCTCGGGGACTATGGACTGCGGATTGCTCCGGCAGTCAACTGTGTACATCCACAGCTGTCAGCCTCCGATCCTGGGTGCTGAGGACAGAAACCCAACTCAAAAGTGCTCAACCTCCCACCATGGAGGGCCCTTCCCTCCCCTGTGCCAGATTCTTGTGCAGCGCAGGCCAGCACCTGGCGCCACATCCCCGTGGCGCCTGGGGACGCCGTGGACTCTTACCTTATGTTCGTCGAATTTTCATTACTGTGACCAAGTATGTACCTGAGAAGGCCAGCTTGGAGGAAGAAGGGCTTTAGTCAGGGCCGGCCGGCGCCCGTTTTCCGGCCTGCAAGGCAGACACATGGGGAGGGCCTGGAGGAGGAAACCGCTCGCCTCGAAGAAGCAGCAAAGGCACCAGAGGGGGGACCAAGGGCCGCACCGGCCCCACGGCCAGGCCCGCGAGGTCCCCTGCTCCCAGCCGGCCCTCCCGCTCCCTCCCTCCCTCCCTCCCAGCAACGGAGACCTCTCCCGAAGCGCCCAGACCGCGCTCTACCGACTTCCTAGGCGCCTCGCCTCTGGTTCGACGCGGCTGACAGCAGGAATAACCATCACACCCGCGTCCCACCGCTGCCCTTGACCTGAAGGGCAGGAGCCGCCCAGCTGCCCCGCCCGGTGAAGGCCCAGTCGCCCTCGCTCCCGCGCACAGACCGAGCGGGAACCGCGGGCAGCGTCCGAGCCGCGCCGGCGCCCCCTGCAGGCCGGAGCTGGGGGGCAGGGGCGGTGGCGTGTGTCGCCCTCGGGGCTTCCGCAGGAGCGCGCTGGCTCCGGAAGACGGCTCGTCCCGGCTCGAGGGAGCGTCCTGCCTGACGCCCTGCGAGCTGCCAGCTCTGCCCTCGTCCGCACCGGCGCGGGGCTGCGCGGCCGGCCGCAGGCACAGCACCAGCACGGCGGCCCCCCGCCCCGCCCGCAGGGCGCCGTGGCCACCAGGGGGCGCCGCCCGCCCTCCCTCCCTCCCTCCCGCCGCCTCCTTCCCTCCCGCCGCCTCCTTCCTGCCGCCTCCTTCCTGCGTGCGGCGCGGGGCGCTTCCGCTTGGCCCGGCCCGGCCCGGAGCGGCGCGGCGATGTGGCTCGGCCCGGAGGAGGTCCTGGTGGCCCACGCGCTGTGGGTGACGGAGCGCGCCAACCCCTTCTTCGTGCTGCAGCGGCGCCGGGGCCACGGCAAGGGCGGCGGCCTCACGGGTGAGCGCGGCCGGGCGGGCACGCGGGGCGCGGGGCGGGGCTTCGCGGCAGACCCCGCGCCCTGCCTCGGTTTCCCCGCTCTCCGTCTCGGGCCGGCGGAGGCCTCGGAGCCGCCCGCGGAGCTCGTCAGGGGCGGTGGCGCCCGCGCGTGGGCGGGACAGGCCGAGCTCCCTGAGTGAGTGCGGGCGACGCCGCTCCCCGGTGACGCGGCCAAGGAGGCCTGAAAATACTTGCGTGCGCGTGTGGTTCCGGGGACCGACGGGGCTTCACACGGAGCCGCGTCCCAGCCTGCTCTGGTGCTGTTCTTATTTGCATCTTTATTTCGAGGCGGTGTCTCACCAAGCGACCAACTCGCCCGCCCAAGCTGGGCTCAGGCACGCCCTCCTCCTGCCTAGCCTCTCAGCGCGGGGGTCACCGGCATGGACCGCGCCGCACCTGCCTTGCCGGATCATTTAATTAACCAAGAGAGTAAATCAGACAAACAACGGCAGAAAATATTTTGAAAAATGGTAGTAGGTACATATTTCTTGCGGATCTGTCAGGAAATAGCGACATCGACAAAGATAGCACAGTCCCGAACTGTGTGTGTGAGAGAGAATTTGAAATGCTCTGAAGTGCTTCCATTAGGAGATGAAAAAGTCAGATCAGTTTTTCCACATTTCACTGTTCTAAAAATTTACATGTCCTTTTTTAGCCCATGACTTTTGAGGCTGGAAGAAACTTCGTGAAACCTTTAAAAACAAAAATTTGCTATCCATGGCGGAAGAAAGCCTGCACTGTCTTCCTCTTCTTGATATGGAAGACGGTGTTACAAAATCAGCGTCTTGTGAAGAAGCAGAGTTTCCAGCCAGAAATGGAGGCGGGACATGTTACGCAGTGTGCCCCCAATTTAAGAACGAGTCCGCTGTGTCTTGCACACCTTTGACACAGAGTTACAATGTAAAGCATCGACCAGAGCCCAGCTCCATCACATCTATGCAAGTTTCCAGCTCCAGCAAGTGTTTCTGAGCGGAAGAAAGAGCAGCTGTTTCTCGGAAGTGGGCGGGTGCGGAGGGGCCAGGCGCCGGGCCCTGCTCTGGGTGTGGTCCGAGCGCACTGTGGAGGCCAAGGCTGCGTCCTCACCCTGCCCCTCTCTCTGCCCTGTCCAGGTCTTCTCGTGGGCACCCTGGACGTGGTGCTGGACTCCAGCGCCCGCGTGGCTCCCTACCGCATCCTTCACCAGACCCAGGACTCGCAGGTCTACTGGACCGTGGCGTGCGGTAGGTGCCCAGAGTCTCACGCTCACACCTCAGGGCGAGATGACCCCAGTTCCCCTCAGACAGTAGGGCCGGGCTGCAGGGTGAGGCAGCTGGGAGCAGTTTCTGGGCCGCGCGGGCGGGGCACAGCCCCAGGCCTCCCTCTCCCTCCGCCTCCACGCCCCAAGGATGCACTTGGGCTTCGTGTTTCAAATTTGTCCCCTGGCTGACGTTTCCTTGTGACTCCGTGGGCGTCCAGCCCTCCCTGGCTTTGCCCCCAGGCAGAGCGCTGGAGCACTGTTGCTTCTTCCTGGGTACAAGGAGATGGTGCACCTTCCGGAGGGAGTGTGCAGTAGGGAAGCCTCGCTCCCGTGAGCAGTGAGCAGTGGTGCTTCTTGAATAAGCTCAGTGCTGATGGAGCAGCAGCGGATGTTAAATAATCTGTCTAAAGAAAGGCACAGCACTCTGAAAAGCTGAGGCCGGAGAGTGACAAGTTGGAGCCCAGCTTTGGCAATCCAAAAAGACCTTATCTCACCGGGTGTGATGCCACAGGCCTGTAGTCCCAGCACTTGGGAGGCCGAGGCAGAAGGAGTGCCATGAGTTCAAGGCCAGTCTGAGCTACATAGCAAGACCCTGTCTCAAACAAACAAACAAACAAAAAACCCAGAGACCTTATCTCAAAACAAAATATTAAAAAATGGGCTGGGGATATAGCCCCAGTTTCGGTTTAACCCTCAATACCATAAATCAGAAACAGACACAGCAAAGACATGCCTTGAGCATTTGATGAGGACGCTGGGGTCAGAGCCTGTGGGAACCTGGCCCTGGGTTCCTGCCGAGGGAGTGGTCCTCCCGGGAGTGTCCCGGACCTCAGGAAATGCACCTGCCCGAGCAATGGGAGCCCATGCAGCTGTGCTGGGTGGGACAGAGCCTGCTGCCCCAGTGTGGGAGGAAGTCCCGTCACAGGCACTGAGGGCACAGCCTGCACTTGAGGTGGCGGCTCTGTGCCGGGCACCTCCTGAGCCTCCAGTGAGGGCCTGGGTCCTCTCTGCTCTGAAGACTAGGAGCCTGTATCCCAGAGGGTAAGTAACCTGCCCAGGTCACACAGTGCTGCCGCTCAGACCCGGAGCAGAGTGCCGCCACCAGCCACTGCTGCAGGCCTGTGAGCCTGTCCTCCATGACCTGCGGCCAGGCGGGGAAGGGTGAGGAGACTGACTGGGAGCCTCGGAGGTCGAGCTCCGTCCAGAGTGGGGCTCCGCCCGGCACCGACCCTCGGTGACCGTCTCCCTGCGCGCTTGGGTGGATTCAGTTAGGGCTCAGAAGGTGAGCCCCGTGGGGCAGTCCAGGAGGGCCAGCCCGGCCCAGTGGGAGGTGCACTTGGCAGGAGCCGAGGGCTGCTGGGTGCCTTTCTTTTGTTTTTGTTTTTGGTTTGTGTGTTTTTAAGGTACTGGGGTGTGAACCCAGGGCCTTTGGGTTGAGCTAAATCCCATCCCTGGCCCTTCTTATTTTTTATTTTGAGACAAGTCCTCACTAAATCCTTACATTGCCCACACTGGGCTGGGATTCACAAGACCCCTGCCTCCTCCCTGAGCGCTCGGGGCACAGGCGTGCGGCACCGTGCCCAGCTGAGGCAGGGGCTTTTGACACAGGCCCTGCGGACGGGCGTCTGTCTCGCCCTCGTCCTTTCTCGGGTAGTGGATGGGCAGAGGACCAGGAGTGGCACCAGGGAGGGCAGGGCAGAGCGTCCGGTGCAGGCTGGGGCCCCTTTAGTGGCTGGAGCTGGGGACAGGCCCCTGCTGCGGACCCCACCTGGGCCCAGACCACAGCCCGCCTTGGCCCCTCCCCACACCCCCTTCCCCTCCGAGGAGTGGGGCCTCAGAAGCAGCCCCCAGAACCGGGCAAGGTCCTGCCGCACAGCAGCTGCAGCCCCTTCGCTGGCGATGAGGGAGTGCAGGGACTGTGCCTGCACCGCAGCCCCCTGGGCCCCGCTCACACGAAGCTGCAGACAGGCCCTGCGCGGGACCTGGGCTCCCCACCTGACCTCCCTCAGACCCCGCCCTGCCTGCCTGCTCCTCTGCGCCTGACACAGCTCCAGCTGTGTTTGTACACGGGCGCCTCTCCCGGTAGGCCACAAACTCCCAAGGGCAAGGCGGGGCTCTGCGGCCTGGCAGCGATTCTGGCGTGGTCATGCTCTGCTGGGTGGCCCTGGGTGACTGACCAAACCCTGCATCTCACCCTCATCCTTTAAAGTGGCACCTCTCTCCTCGGGTTACAGGAAGCTCCAGAAACCTGGGAAAACAACAGTGGCTGTTAATGACCTAGTACTTATTCCCACTACCTCACGCATGGCTCAGGCTAGGCGTTTTCTCAGTACTAAATGAGGGTTAAGTTACGTTTAATAATAATTCTTATAAATGCACATACATAAGCATTTTTTTACATAAACATTTATAATTTAAATGCAGCGAACCCAAACAGGTAACATGGAAAAGGTGTCTTCTGCTTTAGATTGGCAGGAAAGTGTATGTAAAAGAAAACACCATGGTAGAGTTCCATCTTGTGTGTGCTTTTCACTTCTGAATTCAGCTGTGGCTTCCTGGAAAAACAACAGCGAGAGAAATTCTTCCTCTGTCACCTAGACCTTGGCTTCTATGCAACAGGGTTATAAAGCCATTTAAAATGTGAAAAAGGAAAATACATTGATGATTTAGGGGACCTACAGCGAAAAATTTTCTTCAGTACTGGAGAACAAACCCAAGGCTGCTCTCCCACTGAACTACATCCCCAGTCCTTTTTAGCTTTTATTTTGAGGCAGGGGCTCACTGAACTGCCCAGGTGGGGCACCAACTTGTGATGTTCCTTCCTGAGCCTCCCAGAGGGCTGGGGCCAGGCATGTGTCCCATGCCAGGCTTCAGGGGAAATTCCCATTGCCTGTTGTGACTCACTGTGAGTTGTGTAATTATGGGGCAGTCGTTTTCACGTGGGCATTCTCCTGCAGGCCCTTTGGGGAGGATCTTTCCTGTGGAATTGCTTCTTGGGTTGGTGAACCGCTTGAGCAGATAAGACACAAACAGCCCTGAGCAAGACAGGCCTGTGACCGCGTGACAAGTGGGTGCCCTGGGTTGGCAGGGGTGACAGGCGCCAAGACCAGCCATGGAGGGGTCAGTGTGATACACTCAGCTGGCACAAGCATGATGCCAGGTGGGCAAGCACCAGGAGGCTGGAAATTCGGGTTTGGAGACAGTGCAGTGGCAGAGCAGGTGCACGAGGCCTGGGTTCCATCCTGCACTGGTTCAGCCAATGTCACGTGTGCTTCTTGGCCAGAGCTCCCTGTACTCCGAGTGTGTGGGCCTCCATGTGCCTGGGCAGCTGGCAGCCCCCGGGCCACCCAGGACAGCTGAGAAGGATATGGGTCGTTCACTCCTTTATCCCTGTGTTCATTCATTCAGAACATAGCTTTTGATTGTAAACTCCATGGCAGATACATGCAAAACCCCAAGGAGTTCATTGTCGGGGAGCAGCAGGACAGGCAGAAAGCTTCGCTTCCTTTGCTTTCCTCCCAGTACCTGATGGGGGTGAAAAGTCCTCCCCCGTTGGGGAGTAGCATTGTGCTGCCTTCTCGAAGTTTCTGCGTCTCTCCGGGGCCTGGAGGACCCTCTAGGGCCCACGACCTAGAGGACAGAGACCCCCTCCTCGACAGTTGGATGTGAGGGGAGAGCTCAGCAGGAGAAACTGAGGAGAGGGCCGGCTGCCCAGGGCACCGCTGCCTGCAGGAGGCTCAGCGAACGCCCATTGGCACCCGGACTCTCGGGAGTGAGCCGGAGCTCCTCTGCAGGGTCTGACGGAGCCTGATTGTCTCCTCCGTGGGAAGAGCGCATGTCCTGGCTGCCAGATGAGACACACAGACTGCCCAGTCGGAGGACACCTGGGGATGAGTGTCACTCTTGGCGTCGGGAGGGACGAGGCTTTGTCTCCCTCTCAGCGCTGAGGTTCTGCCTGGCTTTTCAGTCTTTTGAGTTTTACCAGGACTGTTTACATGCTTTTGTGATATACGTATCTAGTTTTGGGGTTTTTTTGTACCGGGGATCAAACTCAGGACTTTGTGCTTGCCAGGCGGGTGAGGAGCCACTGAGCTGCATCCCCGGGCTGCACTCCTGAGTTTAGGAAGAAAAGAGTAGGCAGGCACCATGGCATCGCGCACGCCGTAATCCCAGCTTCCTGGAAGGCTGCGGAAGGAGGATTCGCATTTCAGCCAACCTGAGCAGTTCAGCCAGACCGTGCCTCAAACCTGAGCAAAAGGAGGAGCAGGAGGGGTTTGCTGAACAGCTAGAAGATTATGGTGACTTGGACACGGCAAGATCGGGCACCCGTTTTAATTTCTCCCCTTGGTTTGTGTTTGAGACTTGGGCTCACAGTTTCCTCTATTTCACCAAACCCCCCAGGTTCTTCCCGTAAAGAGATCACGAAGCACTGGGAATGGCTGGAAAACAACTTGCTGCAGACACTGTCCATCTTTGACAACGAGGAAGACATCATCACGTTTGTCAAGGGCAAGATCCACGTGAGGTTCCCTCCCCTCCCCAGCCTTTCTGATTCCTGCGGCCACCGTGTTTGGGGGAGAATTGCATGCGAGCTGAGCAGTACAGGCTGCTTTTCTTGTTGTGAGTCTCTAGACAGTAGTGTGACAGCTGTTTCTGTGGCCTTTGCATTACAGTTCACGAGTCACCTCGAGATGATTTAGAGCACAGGCTGGTGTGTATCGGTCACACACAGACAATGCACCATTTACGCAGGACTTGCTATCTGGGGAGTCCTTATCTGTGGGGACCCTAGAAGCCGTCCCTGTGGGCACCTCTTCAAACAACAAGGTGCAGGTCTCATTCCATTCTAGAGGGATGGAAAGCGAAGTGGCCGCCTGCTCTCATAGAGCCAGAACAGGCAGTTGAGCTGATTCCCATTGCTGAGGCTGGACCTGGACCTGGACCATCCCTGGGCCCTGTGTCAGAGGCTCAGTCTCCAGCCCTGGGCGCTATGGGAGCTGGGGCTGCTGGGAGGAAGTGAGCTGGTGGTGTTGTCCTCGTGGGGGCCCAGGCCCAGGCCTTGGGGGGACGTTGGGGCCCAGCTTCTTCCTCTCTCTGCTTTCTAACTGCCGTGACATGAAGAGGGCTCTTGCACCTCGAGTTCCCCACTGTGACAGGCAGCACCACCCTGGCCCAGAAAGTGCAGCCCGATTCAGCCCTTCTTCCCCATGAGCCTAGCACCTGCAGCATCTCTCAGAGAAAGCAGACCACACGGGACCCCTCTCAGGAGCTTCTTTCCCTTTCCTTTCCTGCCTTCTAGAGGCCACTTACATTCATTGGCTCCTGGCCCTGTCCATCACCCTTTTTCTTCTCCAGTCCTGGGACTTGGACCCAGGGTCTTCACACTGAGCTAAATTCCCAGCCTTTTTTCAATTTGACACAGGGTTTGACTAAGTCACTAAACTATCCAGACTGAGCTTGAAGCTGCAACCCTCCTGCCCCAACCTCCCAGAGTGCTGGATTACAGGCATACGATACCACATCTGGCTCCTGTCCTTCATTCACCTTCACTGCCAGCAACATAGCGCCTTCAGGCTAATCCCTTGCTCCCTCTGCTGCCCTTTCCTCCATTCTACCTCCCTACGACTCTGACCCTCTTGCCTCCTCTTTGTAAGCGTGATGCTGATCGTACTGCATTCACCTAAATGATCCGGAGCCCTCTCCCCTCTCAGGACCCTCATTTACATCTGCAGAATCCCTGTACTGTACCAGGTAACGTAGTCCAGCATGCTGGGGTTAGACTTAGGCATTCAGCCCCACTACATAAAGTAACGTTTAAGTGCAGGTCGGGCAAGAAACTGAAAACCTGAAGAACCTTCAAACTGAGGTTTTGTGTTTTGGTTTTTTGAGACAGGGTCTCACTAAGTATTCCAGGCTGGCCTGGAACTCGAAGGCAATCCTGCCTCAGCCTCCTGAGTACTGGGATCACAGGCATCTAATACCACACCCAGCTTAAAACTATTGAAGAGGGCCAGGGATTTAGCTCAGTGGTTTCAGTGCCTGCTGCGTAAGCGCAGGGACCCAAGTTCGATCCCCGATACCAAAAAAGAAAAAAAAAAACTATTAAAGAAACTGAGTCAGCAATTTAACATCCTGCCAGCGATATTTTTACAGATGGTTTCCATCTACAACACACAAAGTTGCAACCTCATGATCCATACTTATTCTGAGAAGGTCAAAAATAGGGTGAATGTGGCCAGGTGTGATGGTGCATACCTATAATTCCAGCACGCTGGGCGGCTGAGACAGGAGGATTGCAGGTTCAGGCTCAGCATGGGCAACTGAGTGACTTAGCAAGACTGGCTCAAAATAAAAAATATTTTTGGGCCAGGGATTTAACTCAGTGGAGGTCCCGAGTTTGTGCAAGGTCCTGAGTTTGATCCCTGGTACCAAAAAAAATAAAGTCAAATGCCCTAGTACTGCTAAGTAAAATGTCTAAATTTTTAAAAAAGATTTTTATCATAGTAAAAGCCTCGTTAGTCCCTTCTCAAAATACCCAAGCAGGTTTGTTTGGGCCCTTGGGTTTGGAGGGTCCAGTTTGGGACCATGGTGAGGTGCACAGCATGGGAGATGGGGCAGAGCAGGGCCACCCGGCTGTGAACCAGGAGCAAACGGGACAGGGAGGGGCTGGGCCTCGGGGACACGTGGCAGACAGAGTAGCTGGTCCCCAGCCTCCAGTGGGAGGGGACCAGGGGCAGCAGACACAAAGTGCAGGGCCCCCAGCAGGCAGCGTGGCAGCTCCCAAACAGGTATCGGACTCAGTGCAGCCTCGCTGGTGTAAGGGATTAAAATACTCTGTTCCTCCTACTCTTAGGTTCTTGACTGAGCTCTGTGCCAAAAGGCAGTTTTTGGTTTTTTGGTTTTGTTGGTACCGGGGATCGAACTTGGGTCCTTGCACTTGCAAGGCAGGCGGCAGCACCACTGAGTTAAACCCCTGGCCCCAAAAGGCATTTTTGACATAAGAAAACCACTCGGAGCTTTGAACACGTGCACAGCTCATCAGTACATAGGTCACCACTTCCCCTGCCTGTGCTGGCGGCCCTAAGCCAGAATTCCAGGCTCTTGGTCCCCCGGGCTGCTCCGCCCTCCTCTGACCTACCCAGAGCTGCCACGTGGAGCTCAGGCCCCATTGTCCCCCTGCAGGGCATCATTGCAGAAGAGAACAAGAGTCTGCAGCCCCAGGGGGATGAGGATCCTGGGAAGTTCAAGGAGGCTGAGCTGAAGATGCGGAAGCAGTTCGGTATGCCAGAGGGTGAGAAGTTGGTCAACTACTACTCCTGCAGCTACTGGAAGGGCCGTGTGCCCCGGCAGGGCTGGCTCTACCTGACCGTCAACCACCTGTGCTTCTACTCCTTCCTGCTGGGGAAAGAAGGTGAGCCCCAGCCGTGGGGAGTGGGGCAGCCAGCTGCGGTCCCTCTCACATGGGGTTCAGATGTCCTCCTCTGGCCGTGCTGACCCCCATGATCCTCTGCGCCACCATGCCCTGGCTCCCTGGCCGCACCTCCAGAAAGTCCACCGCCTCCAGGCTGCCAGCATTCCTGGCCCCAGATCCCCATCCACACAGCAAACAGAAGGGACTCCCTGAAACCGAGCTGCCACTTTAGCAGCCCGTGGTGGGGACACCCAGATTGAGCCAGGTATTCACTTGCTCCTGTTCCCAGCCCACTAGTGGGACTCCGCACTGTCACCTCCCTGGAGTCCCTCCCTGCAGGATTCGAGCCACACTTCCCGCCCGGCGTCTGGTCCCTCCACTGCCTCTGTCACCCAGAAAGCACCCCCAAGCCTTTAACTGTTCCCAGTCGCATGGCCATCAGCCTTCCCCGAATCTCCATCCCAGCGTCCCCTGGTGTCCTCCTGCCCTCACCACTTGTGGGCCAAGTGCTCACTGAGCATGGCTGGCCTGAGAGGCAGGGTCCGGGCCACTCCTCACAATGACGCTGTGTCTCAGTGTAGCCACACAGCCCTCAGGTGTCGCTCCCTCCAGGGTGGGTTCTGGGTGCAAGTGAAGTCCAGAGCCTCGCCTTGCCTCGTTGTAATCAGTGGCACATCTGTCTCTACCGGGTTCCAGTGAGCCTCGTGGTGCAGTGGGTGGATGTCACGCGGCTAGAGAAGAATGCCACACTGCTCTTCCCTGAGAGCATCCGTGTGGACACCCGGGACAAAGAGCTCTTCTTCTCCATGTTCCTCAACATCAGTGAGACCTTCAAGCTCATGGAGCAGCTGGCCAACCTGGCCATGCGACAGCTGCTGGACAGCGGGGGCTTCCTGGAGGACAAGGCTCTGCCCAGGCCTGTCCGACCGCACAGGAACATCTCGGCTCTGAAGCGGTGCGTTGCCCTCCCAGGGTGGGAAGCCCCCAGCAGATGACGGTGGGCCTGCCTAAGCCAGTCCAGTGACCCTGCCCGGGGCCTGGCTCGTGGCAGGCTGGAGAGGCCTCTGCACTTGCAGGCTCCCCACTTTGGAAGGAGGCCAGGCACACAGTCGGCAGCGTCACCCTGGGTGGGTGGGTGCATCTAGAAATGTTAGCGGTAGCCTGTGTGGCCTGCTGATGTGGCGCAGGCTCCTCATGCTGCCTTTCTCTCGGCCTTGTAGCAGGAAGGTGCTCTCAGCATCCTGTCTCAGACCAGGACGTTGCGCCTCGGAGAGCTGGCCGGTGGTGACCCCTAGATGAGCCGCCTCTGTCAGGGTCCTCAGGTCCTGGGAGGCTGCATCCGGAAGTCTTCAGCGAATGAGGGCTGGGGTTGCTCAGCCTCCGCCCCACCATGGTAGTCTCCTTGAGACCCTGGGCCTGAGGGCCTTCAGCCGTGGGGCCAGCCTCGGTCTGAGGTCACTGCTGCCCTGGCTGGGGGGCTGGTGGAGAGGTGGTTTCGGTTCCTGGCTCCTCCAGGTCACTGGTGTGCTCTCGAGGGGGCAGGTTCACAGAAAATCCCACCAGGCTGGCCGAGGACTCAGCCAGGGTAGGCACAGCTGGATCCACACCCCAGTGGGGCTGTCTGCTGGGTTGTACCCACAGATTGTGCTGTGGGTCCACAGTGCACCTGTAGGACCAGAATGCTGTGTGAGGGCCTCAGTCTCCTGGTGCAGGTGATCGAGTGGCTTCCAGGACCTTCCAGAGAGAAATCAAGCAGGGCTGGCACTTGGCATTTCCAGCACCATTAGGCGAGGTGCATGGCCAGGCCCTGGTGAGGCCAAGGCAGCCCAGGGCAGGTGGGCAATTCCCCTAGGACAGGGGTACCAGCCTTTTGGAGACCGAGTGCTGACCTGCAACCCAAAGCCACTTATTTATCACAAAGTGCCAACACTGCAGTTAATCCTGAATGCTGAGTTTTTAGTTTAGAAAACACAACTCTACCTTGACATCTCTTGTCTTAAAAGCAAAACACAATAACACTCGTGCCATAGGAAGGAATGTTTATGTGGACAGAACCTCGAAGCGGTGAGGGCAGGAGGCCAGGCCACCTCCCAGAGCCATCACACACACAGATGACCACAGCCGCCTTTCCCATTGGGAGCTCCTGTCTACGTTCCAAGCTGGGATCAGCTCTTCCCAGAGTGAAGCAGCAGAGGCGGGGCCAGTGACGTGCAGGGTCTGAGCTGTGCAGGGCTCAGGAGCTGGGATCACTGGCACTGCCCGCCCTTCAGTGCCAGGCGGACATCATGGCTGTGTCCTTTCATTCAGGTCTCGAGGCACAGTACGTGCAGCCACTTCTCCGCTGGTCCTCTGCATGTCCCACATCTTCCTGAGTCATTTACTGTGCGTCTTTCGTTGAACTCAAATCCCTGTGCACAACCTGCTTGCTGGAGGACCCCAGTGTCCTGAAACCAGTGTGGAAACGGAGACCTCCCTGAGGGCATGCCAGGTCTGACCTGTGTCCCTTTCCCACCTTCTTCCTCAGGGACTTGGACGCCCGAGCCAAGAACGAGTGCTACCGGGCCATGTTCCGGCTGCCCAGGGACGAGCATCTGGACGGCCACACGGGCTGTACCCTGTGGACGCCATTCAACAAGCTACACAACCCCGGCCAGATGTTCATCTCCAACAACTACATCTGCTTCGCCAGCAAGGAGGAGGATGCGTGCCACCTCATCATCCCTCTGAGGGAGGTGAGAAGCGCTGGCGAGGGCCTTGCTCAGCCCCGCCGGAGCCAGGCAAGGTCGGGGGCTAGGCCCAGAGCTCCTGACTTCCCTCCCTCGTGTGCCTCACGCCCCTGGGCAGCGGGGCCCTTCTGGCCTTTCGCACAGCTGGGACCAGGAGCTGCCCTGGCTCCGAGCTCAGCCTCACTCGGCGTTCTGTGAGCTCCTGCAGAACTGTCCCTTCCTCTCCACGACCACCGCCCAGGACCCTGGTGTCTGCTGGGGCCATAAGAAGGCCCACACCTGTGACATGTCCTCCTGCAGCTGCGATCAGGGCACAGTGAGGCTCTGCCTAGGATCCTCCAGCAGGGAATAGTCCCCAGCTGCCTCTTGGGGCCCAGGATCTCCATCTCAAAGACATCACACGTGGCCATGCACACAGCCACTGCACAGACGTGTCACACGCACACGTGTGCTCATACACAGCACATGTGCATGTTCACACCCATAAGTACTGTGCACTCGTACCTAGCCCACACGTGCACACAGCTGGCGCCCAGCCCTGCTCCATCTGTCCCAGCCTCTACTGTCTGTCCCTGCTCACCACCCCCACTCTGCTCGTGGTGGATCTGTGCCCCTGCCCCGTCATTGCCCCGCGCTCATGTGCGGCTCCGCCCACATCTGGGGGTTGCTCAGAGCCAGGCTCTGGGACAGGCTGCCTAGAAGTGCTCCCTCAGCACGGTGCTTGGGCAGCCCTGCAGTGAGGGCTGCTCCCCGCATTTGAAGAGAAGAGGAAGTGGCCATCCTTTGAGAAGCCAGCAGGGCTCACCTCTCAGCCGAGCACCTCACATCCCCTCCTCTTAGCGGCCAGCAAGGCCAGCATGCTCACTGCGTGCAGACGAGACACAAGTCCCTCATGCAGGATCATGCCCAAGGAGCGGCAGAGTCAGTATTTGAATCGTGTTTTGCCTTCCCAGGTGACTATTGTCGAAAAAGCCGACAGCTCCAGTGTCCTGCCCAGCCCTCTGTCCATCAGCACCAAGAGTAAAATGACCTTCCTGTTTGCCAACCTGAAAGACCGTGACTTCCTGGTCCAGAGGATCTCAGACTTCCTCCAGAAGATGCCTTCTAAGCAGCCGGGCAGCAGCAGCAGCCGCAGCCTCAGCCTCGGGGGAGGGAGAGCCAGCACTGTGGGTCCAGCCCCAGAGGTGAGGGCATCCCGGGAGGAAGCAGCTGAGGGAGGATCAGGCCAGGGCCAGGGCTGGGGCAGCCAGTGCCTCGCTGTGCTGCACAAGGGGCTGGGCTGAGGTTGAGTCTCTGGCGCTGGCAAGACAGCTGTGTGGGGGACAGAGCTGAGCTTAGTCCTGCCCTCTAGGGTCACTGGCCATGTGCACCCCGCCTGGCAGTGTCCCTCCTCTGTGCCTCGCCCACACTTGCCCGGCCATCTCAGGAGAAACCTCTGGCTAGACCAGCTGCCTCTGGCTGTCCCTGAGGGCCTTGCACAGTGTGGAGAGCAAGGCTGGGTGACTCTCGCGGCCTTTGGCTCACTAGTCTTTTGGCCAGAGCTTCTTACCCAGAGACTTTTTTTCTAGAGCTGGAATTTAGGGATTTGAGGACACCAGGCACAAATTCTTCCACTGAGCTGTAGCCCCAGCCAGGACTCCTTTCAGATGTAACTGTAACATCATTATTCTCCCAACAGATTTTATTTTCCGGTACTAGGGATCAAACTCAGGACCTTGCACTTGCGAGGCAGGTGCAGTGCCACTGAGCTAAATCCCCGGCCCTCCCAACAGATTTAATAATCATTCCTCAGTATCAGCTGCGCCTCAGTAACCATAGGAGACTGGACCCAGGACCCCTAGTACCAAAGCCCACGGGGGCTCAAGTCCCTTTATAAATGGCACAGTGTAGTCACGGATCTGCACATCCTCCTGCATGCTTGGACCAAACACAATGCAGATGCTTTGTAGATATTTGTATTTTATTGTTCAGGGAACAGTGACAAGAAAATGTCTGCACGTGTTCTTTACAAATAGTGTTTTCTTCTGCATATTTTCCACATGCATTTGGTTGAATGCACAGATTCAGAATCCATGATGTAGAGGGCTGACGGTATTTAAGATACAGTTGCACTGTATCTGGCTTGGTCGATTGACCCCAAGTTCTAGGGTTATGGCTGTGTGCCCCACGCCTGGCTCACACAGATCTTACCCTGCAGGCTTCTGAGGGGCAGAACAAACTCTAGACAGCCAAGAAATGATGACAGAAGCTTCAGCACAATGACCGGCGGGAGCATTGTGAATATTTCAGTGTAGGGCTAGGTAAAGGTGATAGTACGTAAGTTACATAGGCTCCAGTGATGGAGATGAAGCACCATGAAAATATAAGACAAGAAGGAATATAGAGCCAGGAGTAGGGGTACATGGTCCATACCTGTGATCCCAGCACTCAGGAGGCTGAGGCAGGAGGATCAGTGCAAGTTCAAGGCCAATCTGGGCTACATAGTGAGTTCAGTTTTATATATTATAGATAATTGTTGGGCTTAGGATTTTAGCTCAGTGGCACCACACCTGTCTCAAAAGCACAAGGTCCTGACTCAATCTCCGGTACCAAAAAAAACAACAAATAATATGCAGTTATTTTATATATATACATACATACATACATACATGCTTTCTGACAGACAGGAAAAGAGGTGAGAGAGGACAGAAGGTCGCAGTGAGTTTAGGGTAGCTTTCAAGACATTTTGAGCAGAGGTCAGCAGAGTAACAGGGCTCCCCGTGTGTGGGACTCACCGTGACCGGATGCCTGAGACAGTCGGCCTGTGAGGAGGAAACCTCATTCTGGTTCACAGCTTTGGAGGTCCTGGTCCGCAGTCCGTGGCCCCCGACCCATTGCTTTAGGTCTGTGCCAAGGCAGGACACCACAGCAGGAGCCCATGGTGGAGCCCAGCCCCACACCTGCTGGTGGCCAGGAATGGGGAGGAAGGGACTGGGCCCCGGGATCCCTGTCGTCCAGGGCATCCCCGATGACCTACTCCCTCCCCAGACCCCGCCTTCTCAGGGCCACCACCTCGACCAGGCCTTCCGCACGGGGCCCTGAAGCCACTTGGGAAGCTAGCAGGGCTGACTTGTCCACTGCCGCCCGGCTGAAGACGGGGAGGGTCTTAGGGTGCAGCAGCAGGATTGTGGTGGAGAGGAGGGAGACCAGTGGGGAGAGAAGGGACAGTGCGGGGTGGGCAGGGCTGCTGGAGGAAGTCCGGAGAGGGGAGGACACGGACAGCACAGGGGCAGGGACAGCTGTGGAGGCCGTGGGTTGCTTCTGCTTCTGCTCCTGCTTTGCTCGTTAGTGAAATAGGAAGCGGAAGTGAGGACAGGCAAGTGGATTTTGAAGTTCGTTCTAGATTAATATGTGAAATGGTTACCTGGAGAGAGGAGAAGGAAGGGCCTGACCGGGAAAGCAGGGTCCTGGGCATCGCTGTGTGTCCACCGGAGGCCAGTCAGCCTCAATAAGGTGTGACCCAGCTGGGCTCTGCAGAAAGCGGCCTGGGCCTCCCGCTCCACCTGGTGCTCAAGGCTCCCTGGGAGCGCGTCCAGCAGGAAGGACATTCCTGGAGTCTGGCTGCTTTGCTGGCGCTGAGATTTCTGATACTCTAAGATACTTCCCATTGCCTGAGAGCCGTCTGTGTCCTGGGGTGGGGCGCTGGGCGTGAACCCAGGCCTTGCACATGCTCGGGAATGCTCTGCCCCTGAGCTGTGTCTTCTACCTCCAGGTCCTCCTGGGAAGCTCCAGGGGGAAGCAGTCTCCACAGTCAGGCACCACTGGCCTGTGCTGGGGTCCTGCCTGCTGAATTCAAGCAGCCTGTTATAAAGTATGTTTAGGGCCAGGGATTTAGCTCAGTGGCACTGCACCTGCCTTGCAAGCACAAGGTCCTGAGTTTGATCCCCCGAAGAACAACAAAAAAAATTAATAAAAAAAAAAAAATTTGTTTCGGACCAGGCGTGGTGGTGCACGCCTCTAGTCCCAGCACTCAGGAGGCTGAGGCAGGAGGATCAATGTGAGTTCGAGGCCAGCCTGGACTATAGAAAGACCCTATCTCAAAAAAACCAAAATATTGGCCCAGCGATCTAGCTCAGTGGTGCTGCCACCTGCCTCGAAAGCGCAAGGTCCTGAGTTTGATCCCCGGTACCCCCCCCCAAATTAAAACCTATAAAAGTATATTTAAATGGGCCCACAATCCATTCTAAGATACCAGGCAGGTGCAGAGAGGCAGACAGTGGGTAGAAACCTAGCAGAGCTCTCTTTTTTTTCTTTTTTATTAAAAGCAGCTACGTGAGGGCAAAGTATAATACCTGTACGTATATGAAGAGCGCAGTTTGATCCGTTCTAGGATGTATAAATCTTGCAAGCCATCAGCAGCCATGGGTAAGGCTCTCTCTGAGAATAACAGCGGAGCAGTTTAGGTAGGTGTGCCCATAGCTCCTGCCTATCCCATGGCCGCAGGATGAGACCCGAGAGGAGAGGCCAGAGGGGTTACCTGGTCAACCTGCTATCCACCGGGGCACTACCGCTGGACTCCCCTTCCTGGCGAAGCAGTGTACTCCTTCGGCTTCTGTGTGCCAGGCTGGTGGCTGCAGCCCCTGGGTCCTCCCTGGGTCACCCCAGCACGCCTTACAGAGGCACCGCTGCGTTTTCTCGTTGGCAGCCGGGCAACACCTCTGAGGCCAGATCAGAGTCGCAGCCATCTCACCTATGAGCATAGGGCACAGGGCCCAAGAATGGAGCAGGAGGAACCCAGGTCACACAGAGCTGCTGCTGGCAGGACAGGAAGCAGGTCCCAGGAGCAAGGCCCAGTGCTCACATGACAGCAGAGGTGTCCTGCTGCGGGCTCTGGGGTAGCAGATGCCCGGCACTGCCCTGGGCCACCTGACCACGAGGACTCCCCACATGGCCATTCCCACCAGCACTGGGCTCCCGGAGATCAGGAGTGTTTGGCCAGTACAGTTGGCCCCAGAAGCAGTGCAGGCAGACGGAGGACTGGCAGGCGTCACAGCACTATGCCTTCCAGGTGCCAGATGTTCCAAAGAGACCCCCACCTGTCCCTCGGGTGGTGTGGCCTGCCTCCTCACTCCGCAGCCCTGCTAGCAGGCAGGTTCCAGGAATCCAGAGGAGGAGATCAGGCTTCCCTGCAGAACTTTGTCCCTCATGCCCCTCTGTTCTGCCTGCCCTGTGTTGCCCACCTGGTGCCTTCCCAGAGCCCCTACCCTGGCTCCTAGACTAGGGAGGGTCCCACAGTCCTGCTGGGTGGGGGGCAGCTGGGGCACAGGCCCTCTCTTCGAACGGAGCTCCCCGGTATGATCAGACCCTTAGGGGAAAGTGTCACCATCAGATTGCAAGCAGAGTAGGGGCTCTGCCATCGCTTCAGGCACACTGAAGAGAGCCTGGTGTCTCCAGTGAACAGGAGCTTTGTGTGTTTTAGGCCACATCTGTCGCCTCAGGCCTGGAGCAGCAAAATGCAGAAACTTAAAGGGGTTTCAGAGGCAGTGGCCAGCCTGGGAAGGGTCCAGACCCCTTCTGAGGACTCGGCAGGAGTGCGGAGGGTGTTGGGCCTCCGGGCAAGGGGCCAAAGAGGCCTCCGTGCTCCTCAAGCAGCTGCAGATGGTGAGCACAGGCGGGCAGCCCCAGTCAGGACCCGAGAAGGGCAGGCTTAGGAGCGCTGCTGTCTTGTGCTGTGTGTCCTCTGCATGTCTCCTGTGGCTCCGGGTGTGATGTTCATTGTCCTGGCAGCCCCGCCCACCTCCTGAGGCTCAACGCCCACTCCCGAGCCAGTCTCTGCGCCAGGGCTCAGATGGGCCAGGTCTGAATCCCCATCGTCCCTGGTGCCCTAGCAGGGTCCCTGCTTCCACAGCACGGTGCTCAAGCATGCTCAGCTGCAGTGAGTGGGGCATTTGAGGCCCTGAGACCAGCGTGAGGGCTTGGCTCGAGGGGCCAGGTGCAGGTGCACAGGCAGCAGGGCTGCAGCCAAGGCCTCCAGCCCTGCGCACCCCGCAGTCCTTGCCCGGGGCTTTGTCCAAGAGTGAATGTACTCACTGCAGTGCCCGTGGGGAGCTCAGTACTAGGCACTCTCCCTCTCTGTTTTATTTTTAGTCCCTCCCAGCGCCTCAGGAACTGCCAGAAACACCCACCAGCCCGACATCGCCCCTCTGCAGCCGCCTGAGTTTCGGTGCCCAGGACGTACCCACTGTATCCCAGGGCCTGCTCAAGGTCTTCCAGAGACACCCGGCCATGGAGGACCTCGGAGCCAAGGGGGTAAGGCCCAGGCAGCAGCACCTCTGCCAGGAAGAGGCCTGGAGCCAGCCTCCAGATTGCTGCCTCTGGGGCCCACAGTGGGCAGTGCCATCCTGAGGCCGCCCTGGCAATTCACGGTGGCCAGGCTGTCCTGGGACAGGCGCCCTGCTTGACCCATGTAGCGGGTGCTGTTGGTCACGGGCTCCAGGCCTCTGCAGGAAGGAAGGAGCCTGGGGATGTTGGTGTCTGGGCCAGGTGGGCTCTGCGTACCTCTGCCTGTGTGCGTTGTGAAATCTGCACCTGCTGGCAGCACTTCCCAGACTGTGTACCCTGCAGGGTTTCAGCCTTGCTCAGAGAAGTGAGGACTTGGTCACCTCAGGCCCAGCACTCTGAGACTCTTCAACCCCAAACCCCCGGCTCTTTTCCCTCAGGCGAAGGAGAAGGCGAAAGAGGAAGCGTGGGACATCCACTTCTTTGAGTATGGGCGCGGCATGTGCATGTACCGCACAGCCACAACACGGCAGCTGGTCCTGAAAGGCATCCCTGAGAGTCTTCGAGGAGAGCTGTGGCTCCTCTTCTCGGGTGAGTGGGGTCCAGCTGCTCCTGCCTCATTCCCCAGAGTTCTCTGTCCACAGTGGGCTGGGGGCAGCTCCTCGAGGGTGTGTGTCACACACACAAGGGTCTGCATTTGACCCCTGGCTCCTGCCACCCAGAAAAAGTGCCACATACCTATAATCCCAGCACTAGAGGCCGAGGCAGGAATTGCAGACTCGGGGCTGACCTGAGCTACATGGTGAGATGCTGGTGCAAAGAAATCAGAACAAAACAAAACGAGGAAACTTCTCTTGTGAGTTGTCTCGTCCTTGGGCTGCCCTCCTGAGGTCGACCAGGCAGAGCAGGGGCTGTAGGAAAGAAGAGAAAGGCCTCACTCCCTGCACAGGCTTTGGAGGGGCAGATGCTGGTGCTGGCGCTCTCCTGCCTGCTGGGCCCTGAGACCGCCTTCCTCGCGACAGGCTCTGACTGTGCGTACCACGGCCGCCTGGAGCGTTTGTGCAGAAGGGCTCTGCGGCCGTTCAGATTTCTGGGGCAGACGGGGCTGTGGTGAGCAGTTAGCAGGGAAGTTTCGCTCACACCTCGTAGTTGACCCGAGTTGTCCCCTCTGGGGACATCCAGTCTTCCCTGTGCTTGCCCCCAAGTACCCAGAGGGAGAACAGTGTGACAGCTGCCCCTGTGTCCCCCAGGGGCCTGGAATGAGATGGTGACTCACCCCGGCTACTACACTGAACTGGTGGAGAAGTCCACGGGGAAGTACAGCCTGGCCACAGAGGAGATCGAGAGAGACCTCCACCGCTCCATGCCCGAGCACCCCGCCTTCCAAAACGAGCTGGGGATCGCTGCGCTGCGGCGGGTGCTGACTGCCTACGCCTTCCGGAACCCCACCATCGGCTACTGCCAGGTAGCAGGGCTCACTGGGGCCCAGGGCCCGTGTGGTAGTGTCGTACCCGTGACCCACCCCATTCCCCAGGAAGGAGCTGACAACAGCAAACCGAAACCTAGAAAGGCCATCCTCCTGTGCCTCACATTACCTTCTACATGCTCTGGTCTGAGTCTTGGAAGCATTTGATTTTTTGTGTGTGTAGAATAACGTACACATAACAAAATTTACCATTTTATAGAGACTTAAGTGTACAGTTCAGGGTGTGATGTGCATTCACACGTTGGGCAGCATCACCACCAGCGCTGCGGGGCACTGGCCACACAGCTCTGCGCGTCAGCGTGGCCCTGCCTCACCGCACCCAGGCACCACTTGCGGAAGTGTCCTGGGCTGATGTCTGCCGTCTGTTTTCTCGGTGCCTTCTGACCCGTCAAATTGATTTCCTGTAGGTTGCCTGTTGGGCTGGGACAGCTTCTCACTACTGGATGCTGCCCCTCCTGCAGGGGCAGATTGTAGACCGAGAGGCCGGTGTGGGGCAGGAGGCAGCTGTACTCAGCCGCCCAGTGCGAGCCTCCCTTGCTGTCTGCTTGGCAGGCGATGAACATCGTGACGTCCGTGCTCCTGCTCTATGGCAGCGAGGAGGAGGCCTTCTGGCTCCTGGTGGCCCTCTGTGAGCGCATGCTGCCCGACTACTACAACACCAGGGTGGTGGGTGAGTGCCCAGCGGCTCCCACGCGGCAGGCCCTTCCCCGGGCAGGCTCTGTGCCCTTCCCAGCCACGAGCTGCGTGGAGCTCATAGCCAGCATGGGGGTGCACACCTGTGAACCTAGCAACCAGAGGCTGAGGGCAGCCTGGGCTACATAGTGAGTTCGAGGCCAGCCTGAACTACACAGTGAGACCCTGTCTCAACAAAAGAAAGAGAAGATCACAGCCAGAAAGTGGACAGCCAACATAAGCCTCCCCACCATCTGCACCCACAGCCCTGTGTGGGCCTCCCTGGCATCACTGAAGTGAGCATTAGAGGATGCTATACTGCACTGGCTTCAGAAAGTCCACTGGAGACTAAATCACCATCCACCTAACCTTTCCTCACCTTTTTTATAAAGAAAACTTTAAACATCAAAACTGAAGAATATAGGGCCCGGTATTTAGCTCAGTGGTTCTGCCACCTGCCTTGCAAGCTCAAGGTCTTGAGTTCAAGCTCCGGTCCAAAAAAAACCAAAAAACTAAAAACTGAAGAATACAGTTTGCCCCTGTGTGCCTATCGCCCAGCTTCAGCTATTATGAACTCACATCCACTGAAGCTTGTCATCAGGTGGAAACGGACTTGCCAGTGTCTTACCTTGTGCGTACGTGAAAGCCAGTCACCTGGCATCTGTTATCCCCTCCACGCTGGTTTTGGGGGTCTCCTGGGGTCCTTTAGATTTGCGTCTCTTCACAAGCAGTAGGACAGAAGCCTCCAAGGCCACTGATCACTGAGGCTGTTAGGAAAGAAATCGTGCTTCCTCAAAAGAAGATCCAAGTGCACCCAGCCCTCAGATCCCTGGGATTCAGCCGACCTTGGGCCAGAAACACTTGGGAAAACCTTATATCTGCACTGAACGGCCACAGACTTTCCTTGTCTTTATTCCCTAAACCATACAGGGTGAAACAACTATTAGCGTGCATTCATGCTGTACACTGAGTCATCTAGAGGTGGTTTGAGGTACACGGGAGGCTGTTGCAGAGTCTGTACAAACACTCCTCCATTTCCTATCAGGGACTCAGCCCTGTGGGCTCGGTATCTGGGGTCCTGAGACCAGTCCCCTGTGGACACCGAGGGGACCGTGTGCTGGAGCGAATAGTCCTCTCGGAAGCACAGAACGCTTCGGAGGAGCCCTCCTGGGGTGTTTGTGTTCTCTCCCTGCCCTCCCTGTAAGTGGAGCCAGCAGGCCCGGGAGGTCCCAGGCCCAGGAGGTCCCAGGCCCAGGGCTCACGGGGGGCCTGCTTGAGACCCTGGGCATGGGCCCACATTCAGTCTTGTCTCTTCTGCAGGAGCCCTGGTGGACCAAGGCATCTTCGAAGAGCTCACGCGAGATTTCCTACCCCAGCTCTCTGAGAAGATGCAGGACCTGGGGGTGATCTCCAGCATCTCTCTGTCCTGGTTCCTGACCCTCTTCCTCAGTGTCATGCCCTTTGAAAGCGCCGTGGTCATCGTCGACTGCTTCTTCTATGAGGGCATCAAGGTGATCTTGCAGGTGGCCTTGGCTGTCCTGGACGCCAACATGGAGCAGCTACTGGACTGCAGTGATGAGGGCGAGGCCATGACCGTGCTGGGCAGGTGAACACGCTGGGCTCCTGCACTTCTGGAAGCTGGCAGCAGAAGTCCACCCCTCACCAGCCCTGGGCACATAGCTAGCGCTCATTGACTGCCCACCAAGTGCCAGGCCACACCTGGGCTCAGGCTGGCTCCTCCAACAGATTTTCTTTCCTGTTGGGACCCAAACAGCGGTTGGCAAGTGATCAGTGCTAGGAGGAAACCAGATGGGGAACAGCCCTGAGCCAGGGGCAGTGACCAGAGGCATGCGGTCAGGGGCTTTCTGGGGGTGCCCTGGTGACCCAGGTGACACTTCTCCTTGGTGGCCAGGACATGGCTGTGCAGTGGGTCCAAGTCTAGCAAAGGTTCCTCTGATCTCCACAAAGCTGTCCTTGTGCTTCCTAGGTTGCCACACTGCTGCTTCCCCTGGATAGAGCAGCCCACTTTCAGCCCACCTTCACAGGACAGCGGAGTGAGCTGTAGGACAGCAGGTCGTCCTCACACCCCTCCCCGGCAGCCTCCCCGCCCCTGGACAGGCCTACAACGCCCCTTCCTCGGACCCATTCCCACCTCACCATGGTTTTCTCAGCCCCTGTCCCTCACCTGGTTCCCACAGAGCTCTTTGCAATCACTGCTGACCCTGTCCTTCCCCTGGCACATGGAGAATGCCCCATGTCATGGTTGGTCCCCTGTACAAAGATGTCTGAGTACCCCAGCCTGGCCTTCAGGTGTGCTGTGGCCCCACCTGCCCAGGTATATTTACCTGGCCTGAACACTCCGGCCACTGTGGACAGCCTGGGACATGGCTCCTTCCTGCTGAGGCAGCCCAGCTGTTGATGGGAAGGCAGCCTTGTCAGGGTGGCTTCCTCCCTTCTGTGGGCAGAGACCTCCAGGCTATGACCAGACCATGGTTTTCATGCCTGTCTCCTGCAGGAGCCACAGGCTGACCAGGGATGGGAACTCTCCCACCTGAGTGGCAGGCTCGGCCCAGAGTGCCCAGGATGGGTGAAGCCCTGCTGGGCTAAAGTAGGACCCTGTGCCCAAGACCTCCTAGAGAAGCCGGGTCCCCTGAGCCACTCCAGACACTGCCAGAGGCAGTCCCCACTTTTTCCTGGCACTCTCCTTTGGTCCCTGAGTCTTCCTATCCAGTTATCCTTCCAGCTAGTAGGGTTGGGCTTATAAAAGGTTCCTGCCCACAAGACCCCCTGAAGTTAGCCTTTGAGTTAGCACTCAGACCTCCTGTGGGCAGCGCGCTGGGGCTCCTGGCCCTCAGCATTCGCCTTAACTGGCCGTCTGAATGTGCACCACTTAGCTGTGAGGGATACATCCCTGTGGCCAGCGGGTCGTCTGGACCCTGTCCTTTAACCTTCACAGATACCTGGATAATGTGGTCAACAAGCAAAGTATCTCTCCCCCTATTCCACACCTCCATGCCCTGCTGACCAGCGGAGATGAGCCTCCTGTGGAGGTGGACGTCTTTGACCTCCTGAAGGTGTCCTACGAGGTCAGCAACCAGTGGCACCAGCTTGGCCAGCCCTGGAGGTGGCGAGGGGCAGGCTTCTGCCTGTGGCCGGACTTGGTCTCACCAATTCCCCTTCGCCTGTAGAAGTTCAGCAGCCTGAGGGCGGATGACCTGGAACAGATGCGGTTTAAGCAGAGGCTGAAAGTGATCCAGTCCTTGGAGGACACGGCCAAACGAAGCGTGGTAGGGTCACTGGTGGGACGGGCTCATTCCTCGGGTCGGGGGGCGGATGTCTCCCTGGGCAGGAGCACAGCCGCGCTCATGCCCTGCCCTTCACGCTGCTGGCTGCCTGCCTTGTGGCTGCTGAGCAGACTGGAAGCAGCTGTGCAGATGCACACCGGAGTTTCAGGAGCTCCACTCACGGCTTCCTGCCCCGTCTTCAGTGGGAGATGTTTCCTTCGCCCGCGCCCTGGAGGCTTGGCGCCTCTGGGGAAGTGTCCTCCCAGCTGGCCTTGGCCTGTGCTCTCGGCCCCAGGACCAGGATGCTGACACCCTTGGAGGGTCAGGCTCCCCTGTGGTCCGGCTGGGACCTCAGAGTCAGGCACTTCCTGCTCCGCCTCCACATCCCCATCCCCTCTTGAGCCCACAGAGGGCACTTTGGTCACAACCAACAGAAACTGACAGACTCTGGCTAACTGAAGGGACGGACTTGACCAGCAAGTTCTAGAATCCCTTGCGAAGAGCCAGTTCCAGGGCCTTTGCAGGGATCCAGACAGAGGAGCTAAATGGCCATCTCCTCGGCTCAGGAGAGGAAAGCCCCCACCCCAGTGCCACCCCGGAAGGGGCTCCTGTGACGGGGTGAGCATGTGGACCACACACCCTCGACGCACCACCTTCCATGCCTGGTGGCCTTGGCTGACCACATGCTCATCCCTCGGAGCAAGCATCTTGTTCCGCTGCAGCAGGCGCCTGAGGACCCATCAATACAGCCCGCTTCTCTCTCATTCCAGGTCCGAGCCATCCCAGGGGACATTGGTTTCTCAATTGAAGAGCTGGAGGACCTCTATGTGGTGTTTAAGGTGACAGCCAAGAGCAAAGCAGAGCCAGTGTTCCGTCCTCATCCCCAGAGTGCACCTCAGGGCAGCAGCTTTCTGTCAGAAGAGAAAGGGATTGAGAAGCATCCCCAGAGGCAGTTACCATGAACCTCACGTGGTGGGTTTGAATCCTTGAGTTTAAACAGAGCGCTTGAATGCCAGGAAACCCATTCACGTTCGCCCAGACAGAAGAGGGAATCCATCACTCACCAGGCTGAAAAGTGTGCGGACTCAGCTCCGGGCAGGCTGGACCGGATGACCCACAGGCCCACAGGCTCCCTACTCGGCCTCCAGTCTGGGACTTCTGCAGAGTGGCAGCCCTGTCAGCAGTAGCTCTGGGGTCATCTTGTCAGCAACGTCAGCAACCCCAGCCAAAAGAATTTCTCTTCCCAAGTAGTTTTAGCAAAAGACCCAGGGTTGGGCCAGGGATGTAGCTCAGCAGCACCACACCTGCCTCATGAGCACAAGGTCCTGAGTTCAATCCCCGGTACCAAAAAGAAAAAGACCCAGGGTTGATCGAGGAGTGACTGGGATCAGGTGCGATGGCAGTGAGGGGCTGGTCACCACCCTGTCACCCGAGGCCTGGGGCTGGCTTGGCCAGTTTCGACACGCCCCGCAGGTGCTGCTAACAAAAGCAGGGAGGCTGTGAAGAGGAGGCAGAGTCCTTGTTGCCAATCCGTCTTGCCCCCTCTACCCACTTGGGTCCAGTTCCCAAGGTGGCCGAGCTCCGTGTCTCCTGGCTCCTGCACGTGCCCACCGTGAGGGTCTCTGAGTGGCTGAGGTGTCTGATCTGCCCCGCACCCCAGAGCTCTGCAGACTGGGGTAGAGCTGGAGGTGGGCACCCCATCTTACACCCCGTGTCACCCGCAGGCCAAGCACATGGAGAGCCAGTACTGGGGCAGCAGCCGCACAGCCGCCGCCGGCCACCGAGACCCCAGCCTCCCCTACCTGGAGCAGTACCGGATCGATGCCAGCCAGTTCCAGGAGCTCTTCACCAGCCTGACGCCCTGGGCCTGTGGCTCACACACACCTGTGCTGGCAGGCCGCATGTTCCGGCTCCTGGACCAGAACAGGGACCTGCTGATCAACTTCAAGGAGTTCGTGACAGGGATGAGTGAGTGCACCTCACCTCCGGGACCTGGGCCCGTTACGCCCCATCGCCCTCCCTCCTACACCCCCGAGAGGGCTGAGCAGGCCTGGCAGGGCTCCAGCTCCGGTAGGGAGGAACCCTGGAGGGCAGTGTGGGGCTTGGCTCTGCTGTGTGGCTGGGAGCCCCTGCCACCCTCCTCCCTGCCTGCCCCACAGGTGCGATGTACCATGGAGACCTCACGGAGAAGCTCAAGGCTCTCTATAAGCTGCACCTTCCCCCAGGTGAGCGCCTCAGCCTGGAGCTCAGGATGCCGAGGGGGCACAGGCTTCCGCGGGGAGAGGAAGAGGAGGGCTGAGGCCCCGACCGGCTGCTATCTGAGCAGGGCCAGGACGGGAGGACGCGGAGGGGCTCCCGTCAGTGCAGGCAGGCCGGGATCAGGCGCACCCGGAACCCAGGAAGGGTCTGAGTGTTCGAGTGGACCAAGACCCTGCATTCCAGTTCCCAGAGGGCCAGCCTGGGGGCGCACCACAGACCCAGGAAGCCGGACAGGGGCACAGGGGCCGCGTCCTCTGTCCTCTGTCCTCTGGAGGCGGTGCTGCGGCCTAATGGGGCCACACTGGGGTGCAGGCAGACAGCTCCTGTGGGCCACTGAGGTGAGCCAGTGTAAGGGCTCAGAGCCAGGCTGGAGCTGTGCCGGGAGGCCGCTGGCCTCGGGTGGCTCTGAGGAGGGGCTCTGCCGATGTCTCAGGAGGGAGCTGACCCAGGCCAGTGCGATAGCCCCAGAGCGCAGTGCTCTGAGAACTGCCCATCCCCCGTTCTGTTTTTCTCAACCTGCACGGGAGCAGCGCTGGCTGACTGGGCCCGCCTGGGTAGGCTGTGTCCCCGGAGCCTCTCGCTGACTGTGAGGGCCCAGAGCTGAAAAGGTCCTGGCACAGGCTGGCTTCAGGTTGGCACCACTGCCACAGAGGCCTGGGCTGGATCCCACAGGTGAAGCCACGGGGGCTCTTCCACCACAGCAGCCACCTTGGCCCAGCCTCCTGCCTCCCAGGCATGAGGCGTGTGGGCTCTGGTGGACACTGGCTGTGCCCTGTCACCCCCCATGTGCTGTGCTAGACCCTCATTGTTTCCCCCCGTGCAACAGGGAGATTCACACACACACGCACACATGCACACCATCTGGATCTGCAGCCCAGGCAGTGCTGAGTCACTAGGACCTGAGAGGAGAATGAGGCAGGCCCTGCGTCCCAGTGTGGAGCCACTCCAAGAGGTGCAGAGGGAAAGAAGCAGTGCCTTGCGTGTGGCTGATGTGTGCATGAGTGCCAGAAACGCCCCAGAGCATCTGCAGAGCTGGCCCAGGGTGGAGGACAGCTCATCTTCACCAGGCTCCCAGCGGCACCGGCTGTGTTGCTGCCTGGCAGGTGTACTGCCTTTTCAAACACAGCAGGGCTGGGGTTCAGCTCAGCTGTGGAGTGCTTGGCTAGCATGCACAAGGCCCTGGGCTCAGTCCCAAGCACTGCCCCCCCAAAATCCCACAGTGTCAAAGTCTAGAAAGAAATAATCAGAACTAATCATCACCCTTGAAATTATTTACCATGTGTAAGACCGGGCATGGGGCACACGCCTGTGATCCCAGCACTCAGGAGGCTGAGGCAGGAGGATCACTACAAGTTCAAGGTCAGCCTGAGCTACATAGTGAGACTCTGTTTTAAAAAACCAAGACTCCCCGGCATTATGAGCAGCGGGTTGGGACTGGCTTGAGCACACTGAGCAGGGGAGGGAGGCCTTCGCCCAGGCTGCAGGAGGTGGGAACTCAGCCTGAGAATCCCACCGTCTTCCTCCTCTCCACCTGCAGCTCTGAGCCCAGAGGAAGCAGAGTCGGCCCTGGAGGCCACCCATTACTTCACCGAGGACAGCTCCTCAGAAGGTGAGCCACTGCCAGGACACCGAAGCCACCAGCCATGGCCCTGCAGCCACCACGGCCCTCTGGTGGTCCCCGCGGTGGCCGGCAGCTCCAGCAAAGTGCAGGCTGTGCCATGCCGGGTTGCTCCTGGGCCTGTTGGTCTGAGTGTCCTCAACTCCTGTTTCTCTCGCATCTCTGTCTCCCTGGACCTTGGCTTCTCCTCCCTCTGCCCTCCGTGCCTCCTCTGCTGCCTCCAGCCTCTCCTCTGACTTCAGAGCTGGATTTTTTCCTGCCCTGGGAAGCTCAAGGTCAGTCCCTGGAGGTCAGGGGTGCCCCTCGGCCTCTGGCTTCATCTTCCAACACCTGGACACCTGCACACTCTGTGCCCTGAGGACCCTCTGGGGCTGTGTCCTGCAGGGATGAGTGCCCAGGAGGACCCAGAACCCAGGAAAAGGGGCCCCTCTAGTCTGTCATGGGCCGTCAGTGATGCCCAAACACCAGTTATCAGGGGATGCCTGGTCGCCTAATTGAGGGTACAGCAGGTGATGAGAGGATAATACATAGAACAAGGAATAAAGAATGAAGGGCAAACAGTGGTTTGCCACTTGGGGGGCCAGGAATCGATCTTAGCTCTCCTGAGACCTCCTGATCTTGGCTCTCTCCTGGCTAGACCACGATCTCTGGATCAGTCAGGATTTATGGTTACACATCGTAGCTGGTGGCATGAAGGCAGATGTATTTAGCGGGACTAAGGCACTAATGAGCCAGACTGTAAAAGGGAGGGACGACACTTTCTGGTGAAGGCCAGGTCACAGTTAACCAGCCACCTGTGCCATCTTGCAGGTCGTAGCTAACGAGCCACCTGCGTTATCTTAGCTAACGTTTGATGTTGGAGAATGGCTGCACAGTCGAAATTCCTCAGCTGCAGTGTTTTCTTGCTGTTAGAGACGTCACAACCTCATCGATCACTGCAACCTCAACTGGACCGTAGGCACAGGGAAGTCTGTCTCTGTGCACCAGCTGAAGGCTCACTTAGCAAGTCACACTTAGGGCGTGGAATGACTCATAATTTTAATCAGTAGCCAAATTATAAGCCAATTCAATAGTATCTTAAAGCCTGCTCAGTAAGTTCAAGCTGGTCTCCCACAGTGGGCTTGTCAGCAAATGCAGACACACCACACGGGTTCATTCCTCCAGGCACATGCAGAGTGTCTGTTCACAGCGGAGACACAGCAGCCACCTGCTGTCACTGCAGCCGTAGGGAAGAGAAGCAGCAGGGCGAGTGGAGGCCAGAGGGAATGGTTGATGCTCTCCTCAGAAAACTTTCATGTTCCACCATATTTTTTCATTACAGAAAAATATGTATGTTGAGTGCCTGTTAGAACTCACCCTGTGCTACACTGAAAGCCCATGGGAGCATCTGATGCAGTGTAAAGGAGGCTCTCTAGGCCCTGGGTTGGGCAGCCAAGCTGGTCGTGTGTGATACGCTTGGACAGCCAGAGGGGCTGAGGGTGCAGCTCTGCAGCAGAGCACTGGCCCAGTGAGCACAGCCCCTCAGTTCAATCCCCAGCACCGCAGAACAAAAGAAAACAAAACTGACCCATTGCTGCCCTGTAGCTTCATATGGAGGGTGATACATGCCAAAGAGCTGACCCAGAAGGGAGAATGAAAAAATAATGTATCCTGCCAGGTGTGGCAGTGTACACCTGGAATCCCAACACTTGGGAGGATAAGGCAGGGGAGTTACAGTTCCAGGCCAGCCTATACTATATGAGACCATGCCCAAAAAAAAAATGGCTGAAGTTACAAGTTCAAGTCCAGCCTGGGCAGTTTAGCAACTTAGACCCTGTCTCAGCAAAGAGCTGAGTGAAGGTCTTGGGTTCAGTCCCCACTATCACACAGGTATACAGGGGTAGGAGGAGACAGGCAGAGTCCAGGTATCTGTTGTAGTCCTGCTGACAGCATTGAACACTTGGATTGGAGCATGACCTTGATTCTGCTGGCACGCACTGAAGAGCCTCATGCACCTTCCGTCCTGCCAGGGTCTGGGCAAACCGCAGGTGCTTTCCACTTACCCTGCACATCCTGTGGCCAACCTGTCCTCAGCCCCACCCAGCCCCCGGGCAGCAGGGCCTGCACCCCTCAGGGAGAGGACAGGGCCTGTCGGCCACTGCCTTCCTCACAGAGGAGACAAGTGTCCAGCTCAGCAGATGCAGCACTGCACAGTGCCAGGCTGCGCCCACGGTCCTGGTACACGGAAGTCCTCACCGGCCCGTGTGGCAGTCACAGGCAGAACTGATGCCCACTCACTCCATCCCCGAGGTGTGACCCATTTTCAGCAGAAGCTGTAGAACCGAATAGTTGTCAGACTTGTTGCCTATGGTGCATATCATTTGCTTGAAAAAAAAGTGTAGACTTACACTCTTTTGAAAAACAGAAGTGAGTATTCGCTATGTTGGGGATCGAACCCAGGGCCGTGAGTATGCTAAGCCTCCACCCCACAACAGAGCTACAGCAGTTGGCTTTTTAAACATGTCACCAGGCGACAGAACAGCCAGGCTGTGGTGGGGCAGACTGGGCCTCTTGAGTGGTTTATAGCCAGAAGAATTTCCTCCACGTTCATTTTATTTTTTCGGTTGTCCAGAAGCACTACCACAGGAAGAGCGAGAAGGAAATGGAAATGAGGATGCTCGAGGGAAGAAAAGAGGTACAGACTGTTCTCCACTGCTAACCCCAGAGCTGTGTGCTCGTCCCTCCCCAGTCACCGCAGGAGGGCCCCGCTGGGCAGATCACATACATGTGCCCCTCAATGGCGGAGGCCTCCAGGTACCCAGCTGGCTCTCCCTGCCTCGTGCCTGCCTCTCTCTGCCCACCTTAGGGAGATGGCAGGGTTGGGTCCTTAACCCACCTCAGGTCCAACCCACTGCAGCGGGTTCGGGGAGACCCAGGGCTCCGGGCTGTCTTCATCACAAGGCCCCAGAGGCCGGTGTTTTGTAACAGGACCTAGGTCACTCGAGAACACCGAGCCCACCACTCCCTGTGAGCGCCCTGCAGCCCTCCTGCTCTCACTCGGCAGATGGTACTTCATCTCTTTCTCCCAACTCACAGAGGAGAAGGGGACCAGCCCTCCAGACTACCGACACTACCTTCGCGTGTGGGCCAAGGAGAAGGAGGCTCCGAAGGAGACAATTAAGGATCTTCCCAAGATGAACCAGGTAGGCTCAGTCAGCCTGCAGCATTCGATCCCAGGGAATTCTGGCCAAGACTGGGGCCTGATGCCACCTCGCTGCGGCAGTCTGCCTCGGGTGGGAGTTCTTGCCCTGGATGGCAGATAGTGAGGGTTCCAGAAGCGAGGCTCCTCACTCCGCCCTGCTCCAGGCCAGTGGCGTTTCCATGTGGCAACTGGCAGAGGCCGGAGAGCACCCGCCTCGAGCAGAGACCAGACCCCACCTCTGACAGCAAGGCATTGGCCTGGCACCAGCTCCCTCCCCACCCTGCCTGGCTGTCCTCCTCGGGAAGGAGTGTGCCCCCCTTCCCACGGCTGAGGTCAGGAGCCAAGGTCTTAGCCAGGGAGTCAGCCCTCGCCGGACCCACCCCTGTGGTGCAGAGGGCACTTGCGTCTGAGCGTCTCCCACAGCCTGTGTCTGGGGCCTCGGGAACACAGCTTCACCCCACTCAGGCCAGGACCAGAGCCCCATCCCCGGCTGGTCCGGGTGTGAGAGCCGCCTGGCATCACCCCACAGCCTCACCAAAGGACAGAGGCCGAAGAGCGGAGTGCGACTGAAGCATGCTGCGGAAGGCCGGCCTTGTGATGGCGGGCTTAGGAGGTCCTGATGGCAGAGTGTAGCTCCTTGGCAGAGCGCTAGCCTGGCGTCCACCAGGCCCGGGGTTCCATGCCCAGCACCACAAATAGAGGATGCTGATAGAAATGGGTCTCTCATCTGGGCTGGGACCCAGCGCCTTTGCCTGAGCTGCACCCACAGCCCATATTTTATCTTGAGACAGGGTCTATGTTGTCAAACCTCAAACGTGGAACCCTCCTGCCTCAGCCTTCCAAATTGCTGAGATTATAAGCGGGGCTATCAAGAAAGGCTTTTGGGGGCCAGGGATGTAGCTCAGTGGTTCTGCCGCCTGCCTCGCAAGCTTAAGGACCCGAGTTTGATCCCCGGTACCAAAAAAAAAAGGCTTTTTAAAGCAAGTGTGGCACACGCCTATAATCCCAGCACTCGGGAGGCTGAGGCAGGAGGATCACTGCACGTTTGAGGCCAGCCTGGGCCACACAGTAAGACCCTGTCTTCACAAAAAAGGCTTTTTAAGAGCTGTGTGGCTGTGGTCACGTCACTGTCCCTCTCTGAGCCTCATCACTGTAGCCTGTGAAACGCAATGATAAAGCGCAGGTTTGGGGAGACAGCGTCCCAGCAGTCAGAGCAGCCCGCGTCCTCAACAGCTAACAGAGCGCTCTGACCCCCGTCCGTCGCCCTGTCCTCTGCTTTCCTCCCGAAGGAGCAGTTCATTGAGCTGTGCAAGACCCTGTACAGCATGTTCAGTGAGGACCCCCTGGAGCAGGGCCTGTATCACGCCATTGCCACAGTGGCCAGCCTGCTGCTGCGCATCGGCGAGGTGGGGAAGAAGCTTTCGGCCCAGTCGGGCCGCAAGCCCAGGGGGGGTGCCCATGCCGGGGACCACAGCAGTGCCGCTGAGGAGGACGAGCCACGGACACCTGGGCCCCCTCAGGACCCAACAAGGGCGTTTCAGCCCCCAGCTGCAGAGGACTGGCGGGCCAGTGCCGGCGGAGACACCCACGAGGGGAAGGCAGCCCAGGAGAGCCGGGCAGCGGCCGAGGGGGGCAGCGGCGGGGGCCGGGGCTCTGACGACGACACCAAAGACAGCATGTCCATGTCCTCCTACTCGGTGGTCAGCACGGGCTCCCTGCAGTGTGAGGACCTCACGGATGACACGGTACTGGTGGGCGGCGAGGCCCACGGCCCCTCGGCCTCCTCGCGTGCCCGGGGCACCGTGGACGCGGACTGGTGCATCTCCTTTGAGCAGATCCTGGCCTCCATCCTGACGGAGTCTGTGCTGGTGAACTTCTTTGAGAAGACGGTGGGCATCAGCACCAAGATCAAAGACCAGAAGGTGGTGGAGAGGCAGCTCAGCACCTCCAGCGAGCAGGAGCAGTCGGGGGCTTCGGGCTAGGCTCCAGCCCACACCTCTCCTTTCCTTCGGCCCTTCAGCTTTTCTCCCATCCTCCCCAGAGGCAGCGCTGGCAACGCAGAGCCAGCTTAGGGTTAGAAGGGCTCCCCGGCTTGCGTCTCAGGGGCCCCCGAAGAGGCTGGCTGCACCGTCCTCCCTTGCGCCCAGTGGGAACCCGCCTCGAGCCCGGTACTGCCACAGAGTTAGGGGCTGTCCCATCTGCCCCGCTTGCCTCTCACCTCTGCACCTCATGCCGGGCCAAGGCCACACTGGGTCCCACCAGCGACGGGGCGATCTCCACACAGCTGTGTGCCCCAGGCAGGGGTTGTGCTCGTCGGGCTCCAAAGTGGTGGAACTTAGGTGCTCTCAGGAGCCCTTCAGCCTGAGCCCCCTCTGCCTGGGGCGGGCGCACACCCTGGCGCTACTCTACGTGTGATTTGGCTCCTCCCCTCCATCAATTTGGAAGGCACATCCCTCAGTCCTGGTCTGTCTCCTCGTACTCATTTCAGTGGGCTGAACATCACACTGTGCTCAATGCCTTAATGGATCCCTGCAAGAAATAAAAACCACACTGCAGAGCCCTGATGTGGTCCTTGTCCCATGCTTAGGCCTCTGGCTGCTCCCCAGGCCAGTTGTGGGGCCCAGAACATCCCAGGACACTTGGTTTCCCTCGGGCGATTAGCTAGTGTGGTAGGACTGCCTGTAATCCAGCTAGCTACTTGGAAACGGAAGCAGGAGAGTCACAAGGTTGGAGCCAGCCTGGGCAACTTAACAAGACTGTCTCAAAATTTAAAACAGGGCTGGGTTCGATCCAAAATACTGAAGAAAAAAGCAGGCGGGTCAGTGGATGGAAAATTACTAAGAGGAAACAGGGATAAGCGGGATTCTTGCTGGTAACAGGCCAAGGCAATGAGAGGTCCGTCACCTTGGGTGGGGGGCACAACAGGTGACGATCTTCGAGACTGAGGACTAGGAGGGGACAGTGCTTGCTCAGCTGACTTAGGGTTCTTGCGAAAACGGGATTTTACAAGGAAATACTTTTTGTCTGGAACCAAGATCTCACCATATTGGCCAGGCTCAGCCTTGGGAGAAGGTGGGACAGCAGGCAACAGGCCACTCACTGTGCCCAACCCTAGAAAGCAGCCTTTCCTAAGAAATTTCCGTTTACCTGTTAACACTGAAGCGACCGCTACCATAACGTCTTGTTGACTTGGGTTTTCTTAGGACAGTAGTAATGGCCAGACTGTTTGCAGTAATTTTTACTGTTTTAGTCCTCTACCACCACCCTGTAAGCAAGGTACCCTGCAGGCATCCTTGTCAGGATCAGGTGTTTTTCCTTAAAGGACAATTTGGTGCTCAGGTCTCAGAAAAGCGGGACCGCTCCTCCTCCTAGGGGCGAGGGATAGGCTCGGGTCCTTCCCAGCTGACTCCCATCTTGGCCTCCCTCTCCCGGAAGCACGGGGCTTTTGAGCTGCCTCTGGTTTCCTGGGATTATTGGTTTTCTCGTCCTTCTCGCTGTGGCTCAAACACTGCCCCCCCATTGTGTCCAGATGTCCCGCAAGTCACAGCCATAGGGACCGACGGGGTGAACCGAAGCCGCAAGCGCGGTCCCCCTTCCTCCGCGATCAGCGGACCGACACAGTAAAGCTGAACCTTGCGGCTGCGCGAGGGCGGGAGCCGTGCGGAAGTGACGGCCGAGACACGCAAACTGCGAGAGGGGAGCGCGCGCAGAGGGGCGGGGCGCGAGGAGCTAGCCCGGAGAGGGCGCCGTACCGAGCCTGCGAGGCGGCGTCTGCGCCTAGAGGGTCCCGAGCGCGCGGTGGGCCGGGGCCGGGGAGGGGTTAAGAAGCTGGACGGAGCGCGGTGCGCGTGCAAGCGAGGCGGCCCCGTGCCGAGAGGAGCCTGGGTTTGCGCAGCGGCCAGAGCCAGGACAGGCGTGTGAAGCCCGCGAGCACGTCAGAAGGCGACGGAGGCGAGCATGGCGCCGCCTCATCAGTCCCGGGTCCTTCGGTGCTGCAGCTGCCGCCTCTTCCAGGCGCACCAGGTGGGTTAGGCGCCGGCCCCCGCCCCTCCCGCGTGGAAGTGGGGCCCAAGTAGTGTCCGTGACATTTCCGAGGCCCGGGTCTAGTCCTGGTGCTTACCCATAACGTGGTTCTGAGCTTTTTGTTTCCAGTTTTTGCCTGGCTGTTGTCGAAACCGGAGGTAACGGTTCCTGCCCCGGCGGCCTCTCGGGAGCTCTCGGGGAGTTGGAGAACGGAACGCAGGTTGAGGATGGCATCCTTTAGGCAGAACCTAGTCCTCAGAAAGCCTCATTCTCAGTTCCATTGTAAGGGAGAGGACAGTTTCCAAAACTAACCCTGGAGAAGGAACGCCATGGAGGTGCCATGGAAACGTCCCTCCTCTGCCCCGGGCGCCCTCTGCCGCCTCTCGGTGCCTCTGCTTCCGCCTGGGACTCCGCGCCCGCTGCCCCAGCGCACGCACCTCCGCCTAGAGCATTTTAAACAACATGCATTTTGTTTTGTCTTTTTTCAGTGAGGGGAATTGAACTCCAAGGCCCAGTGTAGGCTGGGATACTCGATATCGCTAAGACCTGTTAGCTTCCTTGACTTGGAACATTCGAGATACAGGATGTCACTAACCTAATCTTTTCTAAATTTTATGCTACTTGATGTCACTTTTCCGACACTGCCAGTGTATCTGACCACTTCTGATAGTTCCCACCCCTACTTATTTGCTATTCCCTAAGAAAGAATAGCATCAAACTAATTTAAAGATTTGTTAAAGTCAGTAAGATGTTGAGTATGCATCTGTAAGCATACATTTAGTGCTGAGAGTTTGAAGGAGCTCAAAATATGACATCAAAATACAAAATATAAAATGCAAAAGGACTGGATAGGTACCTCAATGTGAATGTCCTGGGTTTAATCTTCAGAACCACAATTAAAAATGTAAAAGCCCCCTTTAGGGCTGGAAGCTTAGCTAGATCATTTCTGAGCCAGTTCCACCTTATTTTGTATCACTGTCTGAACTGTATTTCTAAAATTTTGTGGCAGGTGAAAAAGAGTCTCAAGTGGACCTGTAAGGCTTGTGGTGAGAAGCAGTCATTCTTACGGGTGAGTCGTGGGTCCCAGCATTCCACAGCAGGGATGCTCACCACACCATGAGCTTCCTGTTCCTTCAGGAGCGGAGCCTGGAGAGGGGCTTCCGTTCACTTGGTCTTCAGCGAGTACTTCTTGAGGGCCTGCTGTGTGGCAGTAGGATACCAGCGTTAGCTTTGTGCTCACAGGCGTACTTATGTGGAAGGGAAGAGTGCTAACACCTGTGTGCACATGCACATGCGCAGGCACACAATTCAGAACTAGACCGCACCACAGAGGGAAGGGAAGGGCCTGGAAGAAGATGGCAAGGGAATCGGACTTCATGGGGTGAGAGCTGTGGGTGGAGGCAGTGGGGAGTGCCAGGGCCGGCTCAGGAAGCAGAGGCGGCAAGGAGCATATGGCCTTGGACTGCTGCACACACACGCATGCACACACACGCACACGCTGTGACTGCCCTTACTTAGTTCCCTTTCTTCCTGTGCTCGCAAGCACATCTTTCAAGTCCATGCGCGCTGACCTAAGCTCTGGTGCCACAAGAGCCTCGTCCTTTGCTGACCCTGATGCCACCTCTTCTGCTTTAGCTCTTTCCCTTCTCTTCCCATGGCCAGAGTGGCTTCCCTTCTGAGCTTGAAGCAGTCCAGATCCTCTCTGTCTTAGAGCCCTGTGCTCATGGCTGGGGCCCTCTTCCTTCTGATTGGAAATTGTGTGTCTGCATCAGTGCTGCAAGCAGAGACTCCTGTTTTGTTACCTCCAGGCCCAGCACAGTGCCCTAGGTAGTAAGTGCTCTGTGTGGCTGCTGACAAGTGACATTCCCACACCGATGTGGCAGGACTTGCCTTACACTGACTTACAGCGGTCAGTCAAGCCCTTTACAATACCCCCTTGTTTGCTTGACCAACTGTTCGCTATTTCCTGAAGTCTCAGGAGTGAAATTGAGGCTTTAGAGGACATCATCCCACCAAGGCTCTTTCAGTTGCAAATGACAGAAATACTTGAGAATGGCTTCGCTGAAGTAAAACCCAGTGTGCCGGATATCTCAGGGAGCCCAGAGAAGAAGTTCACCCCTGAGGCCCTGAGGAATCAACTGGAAGAACTGACAAACTGCCAGGAAGCCAGACACGATCATTTCCCCCTTCCCTACCTCTGCCCCAGACTCTCCCTCCCTTTTCCTTCCCTTTTCTCCTCCCCTTCCTGTTTCTTCTAGACAGTTCACTGTAACATGCTGCCCAGCGTCACAAACCTCCTACAGGACCTGGAATAGCTGAGTCCCAGTTAGGCCCTGGGAGAAGCTGTCTGATGACTGGCGCAGGATAACTAATGTGTGTCTCTGGCATAGAAAGACATTTCTTTCCAGAAATCTTGGAAAGAAATACACGGAGACACAGAATTCGGGTAAAATAACATTGAAAGCGGGCGGGACCGCCAGAAACCTGTCTGGTTAGTATCCCCATGCCCCTTTGTTCAGCGTTTTCTTTTTATGTCCTTTTTAGTCATTCTCTCATCCCTAGTGGTCTTTGATGTGTAAATACAATTCCAGCTCCTATTTACAAGTCACCGACACAAGATTGGCCATATACATTGTAAATTCCCCCAGCCATTGCAATTTTGTTAGGTTAATGAAGTTACTGGTTAAACGGTCAGATTACCATCACCTTAAAAAAATTACGGGAAAAGCAAATCTTAAAGGAACACATTACTTATTTTGCTTCTACAACTACCTTAGTATTCAGTGTCCTAAGTTATCTAAAACTTTTCCCTGTCAAGGCGACTGCAGTCGGGTCCCAGAGGACAGGGCGCTTCCTCAGCTGGGCAGACACTCCACATAGTGCGCGCCACTGCTCTGAGCTGTCAGCGTGTGTTTCTAAATTCTCCTTGGGAAGGCTTTGCCTTCAGGCTTCCTTGTGTGGTGGCGTATGGCCCACAGCTGGCTAGCGTGGAGTAGTGCACAAGGCAGAGTGACGTTCCTTAACACAATGGGGTTGTTTCTCTTGCCCTTGTAACAGTCCTGGGAGGACACTGAGATGGGGAGGGCACTAGACTTGATGTGGTCATGCGGGGACCCAGGCTGCTGTCGCCTTGAAGTTCTTTGATTCCCTGAGGCTTGTCTGCCGCTTCGTGTAGCCACTTCAGGGGGCATAAGCCTGGGGGAGCTGCGAGGAGGCTGCTGGGACCCAGCCTGGAAGAGGAAAGAGACCAGTGCCGTGGCTGTGCCTAACCTGCGGCCAACTGGAGAATGGAGTCTTGTTTTGTGCCCACGTTCAGAGAGGAGGAGGACACTCCCTACTGGCTGCACCAGACACGGGTCAGCAGCTTTCCGACTATGGCCTTCCTCTCCTGGCCCTCTCCTGGCCCACATTTGAATACACTCCAGCCAGGACCACAGTCCCCCGTCTAGTCTGCCCTGGGCAGGTTCGCTGCGACCTCTGTTGCCAACCAGAGCCGTTAGTTCTCAGCCCTCAGATGACTTGACTTCCTGTCAGTGTTTGTCACAGATCGTCACTTTGGCCTCCTTGAATCGTTTTCTTTGCTTACACTTTCAGGGCCTCTGCTGTCTTGGTTACTTTTCTCGTTGCTGAGACAAAATACCCAACACCCAGAGTGAAAGGAGGAGAGGTTTATTTAGCTTGAAGTTTGTGGAGGTTTCAGTTCAGCGTTGTCTGGCTCCAAGGCAGGGTGGCAGAGTGACCTGGCAGAGGAGCGTCCCAGAGTAGTTCACGGCAGGCGGAAGACAGCAGCAGCAGGCTAGGGCGGCCACCCTTAGGGCGGGTGGCACTCACAGCCAGCGTGGGGCAGCCTTAATCCTACCTAGAACCGTGCCAGACCAGTCAGTGGGCTAATCTAGTGATCACACATCCTTGATCCCAGCATCACACACCCTAGATCCAGCCCCTGTGACCACATGAGGCTTTGGGAGACATCTAGACACAAGCCGTCATGTCTGCTCCTGGTTTCCACCGATCTTCCTGTTTCCTCAGTCCTCTTTGCTGGCTCCCCGAGCTAGCCAACTTCTGAAGGTCTGAGCTTGTTCAACCTCCCTCCCGCACGCCAGGTTCCCACGGTGGTCTGATAAGACCATCCCACAAGGGGTGCAGGTCAGTGGTAGAGCACTCACCTAGTGTGCACGAAAAGAAGTGACCACACAGCTCTTGGGCAGCCCTGAGGCTCAGCGGGGCCGTGGCAGTTGGGCCCAGCACCCTGCAGCCAGGCGCCTGCGGGAGGCACTGGGAAGCCACAAGGGTCGCTGCTGTTTTTACAACTTCCTGGAAGTCTATAATTATTTCAAATAAAAAGTTTTGGGCTTTTTTTTTTTTTTTTTTTGAGACAGGGTGCCCTTGTGTAGTTCAGGCAGACCTCAAACTCGACTCATCCTGCCTCAGCCTCCCAAGTGGTGGGATTACAGGCATGCGCCACCGCGCCTGGCAATTAAAATTTGTTAAAAAGGAAACCTGTAAAAGACAAAGAGTCCCTGGGAGCCGAGGCCTGCGCAAGTGCTAGTGCCCTGCCCCGCACTGGGTGGCGCAGTGGGATCTCCAAAGCGGAAGCCCCGACTGTGCCCTCAAAGCCACTCTTCCCACTTCCTGGTTTGGTCTAAAGACCTGGAAGTCACCTGCACTCCTCAGTTTTCAGTCTTTATCCAGTCTGTCAGCAAGTGTCATCAGCTCTGCCCTCAGGGGAGATCCCTAAGCTTCGAATCTTCCCAGGTGGCCCACTGGCTGCTCCTCTGCTCCTCGCTGGAGTGTGTGCAGCAGCAGCTGACGCCCTGGTTCTTCCACCAGCGTGCCCCGAGGGGTCTGAAGTGCACACTGGGCCAGGTTAGAGCAAGATCCACAGCCTGCAGATAGTGCCAGCAATCCAAGTTTTGGGGGGTCCATTGCAAACTGAGAATTAGGGTTGCTTGTTCAAGGAGCAGGAAAAAGTGCCGTTAAAGGTATTAAAAGTGGGTTGGAAGCCAGTGCAGTGGCTGAGGCCTGTAGTCTGAGCCTCTGGCATCCTGCCTGGGCCACTGTCGTTTTTTGGTGGTTTTTTTTCCTTTTTTGGTACCAGGAATCAAACTCAGGTTGCAAGGCAGGTGGAAAAACCACTGAGCTAAATCCCGAGCCCCTGGGCCACTGTCTTAGTCACTGCCTCCGAATACGCACAGCATGAAGGAGGAGAGGTTTATTTTGGCTCAGGGTTACAGACTCTGGGCAGCTGGCAGTGTGGATGGGCCTCCAGGAAACAGAGAGAAGGGAGGGAGACACCCAGGACCCTACCAGGTCACACCCCAGAGGCCCCCCTCCAGCCTGGCCCCAAGTCCTAAGCACGCTAGCCGTGGCACCACGTCCTGTCGCCTTCCCCAAGCCCTGCGTCTGAGCATATGAGGCCCTATGGGGACATTCTAGATCCAAACCACAACAGCGACTCAGGCCTATCTCAAAATAAAAATGGACTGGGCCATGGGTTTAGCTCAGTGGTTCCGCTGTCAGCCTCAAAAGCACAAGGTCCCGAGTTCGATCTCTGGTACCAGAATAAATAAATAAATAAATAAATAAATACAAATGGACTGAGGCCGTAGCTCAGTCCCCAGAACCACAGTAAAGGTGGGGAGGGCTGGAGATGTAGCTCTGTGGTTGTATTATAGACAGCTAAGTTAGATAGAAGTTAATGGCAGTCAGAGAGGTACCAGGTCCTCAAAGGAGTCAGGGTGGGAGACGCCAGAACTGTGGCTGGAGACAGTTGGAAGAGAGCCAGGCCTGCAGCCTCTCTGGAGACACAGCAGCTTGGGCTCGTACTGTAAGCAGCATCACCTGGTCAAGTGAGCAGATAAGGCAGCTGATGCACAGGTTGGGGACCTGACCCAGACTCCTCTCCCTGCCCCGAAAGCCTTTGATCTTTCTATGTTAGAAGTTACAGATAGCCAGGGATTTAGCTCAGTGGTTTCGCTGCCTGCTACATAAGCGTGAGGACCCGAGTTTGATCCCTGGTACCAAAAAAAAAAAAAAGAAGAAGTTACAGATAAACGGGCCCGGGATGTA